AGCATACTGCTAAAGCAACACTTGAGTGGTTTAAGGGGAAACATTTAAATGTCTTGGAATGGCCTTGTCTAAGCCCAGACCTCAATCCAATTGAGAATCTGTGGTATGACTTAAAGATTGCTGTACACCAGCGGAACCCATTCAACTTGTAGGAACTGGAGCAGTTTTGCCTTGAAGAATGGGCAAAAATCCCAGTGGCAAGATGTGCCAAGCTTATAGAGACATAGCCCAAGAGACTTGCAGCTGTAATTGCTGCAAAAGGTGGCTCTACAAAGTATTGTCTTTGGGGGGGGTGAATAGTTACAGTGAGGGAAAAAAGTATTTGATCCCCTGCTGATTTTGTACATTTGCCCACTGACAAAGAAATGATCAGTCTATAATTTTAATGGTATGTTTATTTGAACAGTGAGAGACAGAATAACAACAACAAAAATCCAGAAAAGCGCATGTCAAAAATGTTATAAATTGATTTGCATTTTAATGAGGGAAATAAGTATTTGACCCCCTCTCAATCAGAAAGATTTCTGGCTCCCAGGTGTCTTTTATACATACTCTTAAAGGGAGTGCTCCTAATCTCAGCGTGTTACCTGTATAAAAGACACCTGTCCACAGAAGCAATCAATCAATCAGATTCCAAACTCTCCACCATGGCCAAGACCAAAGAGCTCTCCAAGGGTGTCAGGGACAAGATTGTAGACCTACACAAGGCTGAAATGGGCTACAAGACCATCGCCAAGCAGCTTGGTGAGAAGGTGACAACAGTTGGTGCGATTATTCACAAATGGAAGAAACACAAAATAACTGTCAATCTACCTCAGCCTGGGGCTCCATGCAAGATCTCACCTCGTGGAGTTGCAATGATCATGAGAACGGTGAGGAATCAGCCCAGATCTACACGGGAGGATCTTGTCAATGATCTCAAGGCAGCTGGGACCATAGTCACCAAGAAAACAATTGGTAACACACTACGCCGTGAAGGACTGAAATCCTGCAGCGCCCGCAAGGTCCCCCTGCTCAAGAAAGCACATATACAGGCCCGTCTGAAGTTTGCCAATGAACATCTGAATGATTCAGAGGAGAACTGGATGAAAGTGTTGTGGTCAGATGAGACCAAAATCGAGCTCTTTGGCATCAACTCAACTCGCCGTGTTTGGAGGAGGAAGAATGCTGCCTATGACCCCAAGAACACCATCCCCACCGTCAAACATGGAGGTGGAAACATTATGCTTTGGGGGTGTTTTTCTGCTAAGGGGATGGACGGGGCCATGTACCGTCAAATCTTGGGTGAGAACCTCCTTCCCTCAGCCAGGGCATTGAAAATGGGTCGTGGATGGGTATTCCAGCATGACAATGCCCCAAAACACACGGCCAAGGCAACAAAGGAGTGGCTCAAGAAGAAGCACATTAAGGTCCTGGAGTGGCCTAGCCAGTCTCCAGACCTTAATCCCATAGAAAATCTGTGGAGGGAGCTGAAGGTTCGAGTTGCCAAACGTCAGCCTCAAAACCTTAATGACTTGGAGAAGATCTGCAAAGAGGAGTGGGACAAAATCCCTCCTGAGATGTGTGCAAACCTGGTGGCCAACTACAAAAACGTCTGACCTCTGTGATTGCCAACAAGGGTTTTGCCACCAAGTACTAAGTCATGTTTTGCAGAGGGGTCAAATACTTATTTCCCTCATTAAAATGCAAATCAATTCATAACATTTTTGACATGCGTTTTTCTGGATTTTTGTTGTTGTTATTCTGTCTCTCTGTTCAAATAAACCTACCATTAAAATTATAGACTGATCATGTCTTTGTCAGTGGGCAAACTTACAAAATCAGCAGGGGATCAAATACTTTTTTCCCCTCACTGTATGCACACTCAAGTTTTCAGTTTTTTTGTCTTATTTCTTGTTTGTTTCACAATTTTTTTTATTTTTCATCTTCAAAGTGGTAGGCATGTTGTGTAAATCAAATGATACAAACCCCCCCAAAAATCCATTTTAATTCCAGGTTATAAGGCAACAAAATAGGAAAAATGCCAAGGGGGGTGAATACTTTCGCAAGCCACCGTATAAACGTGCTGCGTTCAAACAGTTAGCAAGTCGGACATTTCTGAGTTTCCTATTTCCGACTAGCATGTGAACGTGGCATTTATCCTTATTATCAGAGTGCTGCAGGTTGTGTGTGTGTTGACCAATCAGATTCACGGAAATCACAGGTAGTGTGGGTCGGGCATGGAGCACCTCTATATATAGCAGAGCACGCTTTCCACTTTTCTCCAGTATTATTTTAGTAAATGGGAAAATAACTCACTCCAGACAGGCACAAGCAAAAACTCTTTACAGAAAAGTTGTAGCAACCCTTCACCTAAACATTAGTGATCTGACATGCTGTATCAGTCTGATCAACTGTAGGTCTAGCCATAGCTGCAGGAAGTAGGGGTGCTTAGGGTGCTGCAGAACCCCCTGAAAAATCATATAATCTAAAGACCTGCCTTAACGAAATAATAATGCATTTATTTGTGATGTAGCATGGGGTGTTTTTTTTCTTCCTATTCTAATGGTAGGCCTACCTAAAACCATCATAAACACAACCAAATGATGATTTTTTTGCAATAGCATATATGAAATGTATTTATTACATTAGAATGCATTGGCTCAGAAAGGGATTGCTAGATGCCCATCTTCTCTAGTGTTAATAGTCGGAGTATAGAAGCACACGATTTTGTAAGACTCCGGGCCAAAATTCGACAAAGCTCTAACCAAAGAACATGTGTGCGATGGCAAGCACAGAAGCACGCGTGTGGCCAGTGTAGTCAGCATATAACTTTTGCCGAGCGCAAGCCGCTCCTATTCATGGGCATGAGCACACCAGCTCCACTATTAATTTCATCAAAACCTTGGCCTGAGTGCACCGGGTCCACTAGAGGCTTGCACTACTTGAGTGTAAAAATACGCTCTGATTCTATTTTCAAGATTTCAATGCGCAGCTCAGGTCTGACTGGGCTACACAGTAGAGACTAGAGACTGAGCGAGGGAGCTGAACAGTTCGGGACTAAAGTTGGGCAAAGCTGATATCGCGGCAGGAGTAACCAATCGAAGCTCACCATAGCTTCCAACCCCTATTGGGTTGGCTGACAATGGCTGTTGATTCGTAGCACTACCTAGCATGCTTGCTAGCTTGTTAGCACCAACATGAGGGCGAAGCTAGCGTGGCTATGTGAGTTACCGATATATAGTGTATCTCGGCCAGAGCAATAGGATAAAGTGCCTTGCGCTCCACTTGCCCTGGCCAAAAGTTACGCTTACAGTGTAGCAGGTAAAGATAATCAACTTATTTTGCAATGCCCCTACTGGAATGCTTTGCCGTTTGGTTGTTTTCAGTTTTTTTTTTATCCCCTGCCTAATCGGACAACCACAGAGCAGGCTCAACTTGCCCGACTGCCACAAATGCCATAAATTGTCCTTCTTTCACTTAAACAATGTGGATGCGCGGGAAAGATCAGTTTTAGGCTAAGCCTACTGGAATTCCTTACAGTTTTGTTGTTTTTAGTTTTTTTTTTATCACCTGGGGCAACTTTAGAGCAGGCTCAACTTGCCCCAGGCAATAGGTCAAACCTTAAGGTCCCTGCTTCAACTAGGTTCCTGAGTTTTACCCAGTTACCATCACCAGGCAGGCAAAAACTCCACCCATGCAAAACGAGCTGAACTTTCAGGCAGTCTTCTCAAACAGCTCTTACACTAAAGGGTATTATCATAATTTTCACAATTTCACAGTATAATTCCAACCTCATAGTGTGGAAATATATATAAAACACAGGAAAATCAAGTTTTTGAGTGCATTGCCCCTTTAACTAAAGTGAATTGTAAGCTATTTCGATTGAGCCATTTTATTTTGTCATTGAATACAATAATAGGCTTATTTATAGACAAATCTAATATTTTTTTCTCATAGTTTAATGAACATAAACAGCTATCGCCTACAGCCAATCATCAGTCCAAGAGCATTACTTGACTCAAAGTCAAATTTGTGACTTTTTAAAAGTGAATAAAGAAATTGTTAATGCTTGTTCTTATGACCATCAATAGCTGGGCTACCTACATGATGAGCTCAAGGTGGGAGTTCTATTAGACTGAACTGGGGTAAACCGGGATATAGCTCGTCACCTCACTGGGCAAAAAAGCGGTGAGGGAGGAGCACCGGCTCAAATCGACCATCACCGGGCCATAATGTAAACAAAATAGCATGATGAATCGTTCTATCAAATAGGCTATACATTAGGCTACCATTTTAGTAGTTTTCCTTGGGAAGTCAGGTAAAGATATATACGTTTTTATAAAGAGCAAATCCTTATACATGTGAAAACATTGAATCCTAACTCATTACTCCACGTGCTTGACATACCTCACCTTTGTTTTCAGCCGACTTCGCCGTCTTTGACCGGGGCACCCGGCTCACCCGCGGGAGGCAGCCCGGTTTCAAAACGAATGCAATCAATGCAAACCCGGTTTACACGGGGCATGCCCGGGACATTAATCAAATCCCCTCAATTTCAAGACCCCGCCCCGCTCCTTTAACTCGGCAACTGTTCGTTTTACGTGGCCCGTTGCCCATGATTGGTAGAGATTTTATTTTACGACCAATGGAATGGTCTAAAATATGCAAGCCCCGCTCGATCGGGGCACCGGGCGATGCAAAAATAATTCGCCCATTATCAAAGTGCGTTCTGGAGAGCGATTATCAGTCACTGCCTCAGCGCTATAGTGACTTTTGCCAAGAGGGTTATCAGAGCTGCCTGTCAAACAACTGTTTCTCTGTCTGACGGCTTTAGAACTGCGGATAACATTTGGGTATGTTCTTATACACAGGGTGATCGGCTAGAATAAAATTGTAAATTTGGTCAGAAATGCCCTAACTTGAAAGCTTCTCCAAAACGCAGTAAAGGAAAGGAAACTTTGTTACGCTCTCAACAGCGGGCATTTTTGTTGATAGAGTATTCATCAAGTTAACCAAGAATGATTCCACCAGCCAGTCCACGGATCAGCAACACGAGAAGCCGCGGTCAGGTCGAGACGAACCGGGGAGCCACTGCGCTTCTTCTGGACAGCATCAAAACCGCAATCAGGACCGAGCCATTTCAGGATGTGTACAACGTTATACATGGCAAAGAGCTGGGCAGGTGAGTTGAACATTGTAGGTAGTAGGTTAACCGGTTGAGGGTTATTAAAAAAGCTACAGGCTATTTTCTGCCTGGGTGTATAATATTCGAATTCATGTTCCTAATTTGGGATGCTTTCAATCAATGGTCAATGTGGTAACAACTTCAGGCACCATCCATTGACTGTATGTCCATCTAATCATTTACTATATATCAAGGGCTTTTTTGTTTTTAATATAAATGCAGGTATTTGACATTGCACCAGATAGCAAACCAAATTCTCATCTGTAGTCCCTGGTTTCAAAAAAAAATATTTCAGGATGACAAAGAAATACAATTAAATTATAGATACCCATTGACCAGTCACTTTCCCCAGCTGTGAGTGCAAGACTGGCAAATGAATCTAGCCATTGACATACTGAACGTAAAGAGAACTGAAGCCACAGGAGATTTGTCATGCAAAAGCATGGACAAAAGCATCTAATCTATTCCAAAACCATGGATACTCTTTGATTAGCACTCTTATCTATTTATCATTTTTCATGGTTTAGTTACAGTATTACAATCTTTGCCAGTGCATAACTTGTTGAGTTGTAAACTACAGTTGGCCAGGTCCAATACTACTGTGAGTTAATTCCCTTAAATAATGTAATTAGTCAGCATGGTCAGTGCAACAGAGGAGTAAACTAAGCCATGCTAATTGGGCTGCCAAGCTGTCTGAGATTCAGAGGTAATGTTGTAATCCAGTTTGAGCCAGACCTCCCGCAGCTGCATGGTCATACCTTTAACCTGGAGATGTTGGGGAAACACACTATTCTGTGCTAGTTTATCAAAGTGTGTGTCAAGTCAAATCAAATCACATTTTATTGGTCACATACACATATTTAGCAGATGCTATTGCGGATGTAGCGAAATGCTTGTGTCCCTAGCTCCAACAGTGCAGTAGTATCTAACAATTTGTGTGTGAGTGACTAGGTGACCATGTGTAAAATAGCTTGTGGGAGTTTAATTTTCATAAGTTCCAAGTCACACTGGCTTTATAACATGAGTTTGAGTGCTGAAATCAGGCCTCTTGGGAATGAGCTGAATTTAGTCCCTCATGGAATTTTTTGCCTGGGCCAATTTTGTCCACTTAGTCAGGTAAACATATATTAAGTTATTGTTTTTATTCAAGATCATTCATTTGTGGTGAGAGCGATCCTGTTTGGGCTGAGTGTCTTTTAACCTTAACCCACCTACCTTATGCCCTATAATCACTTTCTCACACACACACAGTAGACAGCCCATGCACCTGGTCTTCAGTGTGCAACTCACTGAAGACATGAGTGGGTTTATCAGCATCAGACTTAACAATGTCAGCCAGGGCTAAAGGCTAGAGACATACCGCTGTGAATAACTGGATAAAGGGATTGAGGCATGGATGGCACTACTCGGAACCTACTACTACCTCCACACTTATTTACAACAGTTGGAAAACAACTTGTAATATGTGATAGTATTGGGCATGGCCTTATACTTGATAGTTTAGATAAATGGTGACTTAATTGTCTGTTATAGTCCTTACATGTGTATGTATGAAGACTTGATTTGCTGAATCCTGAATCTCACTGCACGTGATAAACTCTGAGGGTAGAAACAGTCAGTGGTGCCTTAAGCCGGGAGACAAAACATGACATTGATGAACCCAGGCTCTCTTTCAGGGCACTAAAGTGGGTCATTAAAATCAATGGTTGGGTGAGCTTGAAGGTCACATTGGTTTAATAATGATTTAATCAAGAAGGAATGCAGGGAGACAAAAACCTATTCGGTGACCATGACAACAATTGATGGCCTGTGCCACCTTATTGCCCATTTCCCAATCATTCAATTTCACTATACATTTCTAATCAAATGTAAAGGAAAGGGGGATACCTAGTCAGTTGTACAACTGAATACATTCAACTGAAATGTGTCTTCTGCATTTAACCCAACCCCTCTGAATCAGAGAGGTGCGGAGGGCTAAGGGAGGACAGACCAGTGTGTGATGTAAATTACAATCTTGATTATCCACCAAAATGCATAATCAGCATCAACAATCACTATCATCACTATAGTTAGCCTTCTCTAAGACCTATTGATAAATGGTTTGTCGCGTTGTAGTCCTGTGTGTTTTGATCCTGTCGTAAGGGGCAGTTTGCTCATTATTAAGGCCTGTTCTTCAACGTTAAGTCCCCTATCTGTCTCCAGGGGGAAGTTTGCCATAGTGAAGAGGTGTGTGGAGAAGAGCACAGGGACGGAGTACGCAGCCAAGTTCCTGAGGAAGAGGAGGAAGGGTCAAGACTGCAGAGTGAAGGTGCTCCATGAGATCGCTGTTCTGGAGCTCACCAACCCTAGCCACAGGATTATCAACCTGCACCAAGTTTACGAGACCCCAACAGAGATGGTCCTGGTGCTCGAGTAGTGAGTATTACTGCAAACACCTGTAGTTTTCGACTGTGTGTGTGTATACACACCTACATGAACACGTGTTCTCTATTTACGAGTGTGTATAAAGACACCTGCATGAGGTCTTCAAGCTAGCTAGCCATGTCAGTTTGACGTCAAGCCCAAGGTCCCTCCTCTAGCTTTGCTCTGCTGAGAACAGTACGGGGGGAGAAAAACAAAACAAATGTATGCACTCACTACTGTAAGTCTCTCTGAATAAGAACGTCTGCTAAATGACTTAAATGTAAGAGCTGAGGAGAGTCAGCAGCTTGCAGAAAGTCGTCACTCACATTCCTAACGGTGAATATCCCAAGCCCCACTGCAGGGAATGGGGGATGTACTGTGCAGTGAGTTGGAAAGACCACCTGTCTCCCTCTGCCTGAGTAGGAGGGTAATCCAGCTAACCCTAAACCCTACTGTAGCGTCTGCTGACTAGAGCAGAGCAGGCTAGAGGGATGGCAGAAACCTGCGGCTTCTTACTACCATTAGGACCAGCTGCTCATCTACTAACTATATGCACTAGAGTGACTAGTTGCATTATTAGTCCTATGATTTCAACGTTGTATAAACTTCAAGGCATTCCAGACATTGAATAGTTTGATGGTCACCATCTTAACATTGGTTAACTTTGCCTTGAACTTTCCTATTCATTTGAAACCGCATGTGCAATGATGCAATATGTTTGTTCACTGCCCATGTAGGCTCTCAAATGGCTGTAGCCTAATTCCTGACCAGTCCAGTCAATGACTGCACAAGTCTAAGAGAGGATATTTGAAATGCTTATTGAAAATGGAATACCATCAGAGATGCGGAATTGTGGCTAAATAGGGTGAATAACTGTGTTAATAATTGTGTTGGGGCTGCTTTATGTGTTTTCTGTGCTTTAGAGATGATTGCTGTGTAGGTCAACGGCAGTACTCATTCTGAGATATTTATAGTTCTGACCATATTACCTTTTGTTTGTCTTACATTGTATTCATGTTTTAATCTCTGTTTTGAAAGTGCCCACTGAGTGATATATTGGCTAGCTTGGCAAGTAGCTCTAATCCAGGCAAATTGGAATGTGAGGGAACGTGACTTTGAAGCATCACTCTCTGCACTACTGAGTGGTCCGTCAGTACACGGGATGAGAAGAACCAAACAGAAATGCTCTGAAAAAAGGTCATCATTGTGAATTGAAATGATCTCATACTAATTGGCTTGGTCAGCGACATCTACAATACAATAGATAATGGGGCATTTTCTCACTTCGGTAACAAATAGCGCGGAACTACTACACAACAGGTGTAGACTTTTACAGTGAAATGCTTACTTACAAATCCTTTCCCAACAATGCAGCATTAAAAGTAAGAGAATGTGCAAATAAGATTTGAAAATAATAACACAATTGATATCAATAACAAGGCTATATACAATAAGTACTGTACCGAGTCAATGTGCAGGGGTACGAGGAAGTTGATGTAATATGTACATGTAGGTAGGGGTAAAAGTGACTAGGCAATCAGGATAGATAATAAACAGAGAAGTAGCAGTGTATGTGAAGAGTGTAAAAGTGTGTGTTTTTGTTTAACTATTCTTGTGGGTACCAGAAGTCCTCGCAAGGAAAATTCGGACAAGTGGGGACATTTCGCCGGTCCCATGAGGAAAGATTATATTTTAGGCTCAGGGGTTAGGTTCTTTAAAAAAAAATGTGACCAATAAATTTGATTTGATTTAGGGTTAGAATTAAGTTTAGGGTTGGGGTTTAGGAGTTAGGGTTAGGTATAGTTTTAGGGTTAGGGAGAATAGGATTTTGAAAGGGAATACATTTGTTGGTCCCTACAAGGATAGTAAAACAAAACTGTGTGTGTGGCGTCAATATGCGTGTGTGTGTGTGTGTGTGTTGGAGTGTCAGTGGATTGCGAAAGTATTCACCCCCCTTGGCATTTTTCCTATTTTGTTGCCTTACAACCTGGAATTAAAATGGATTTTTGGGGGGGTTGTATCATTTGATTTACACAACATGCCTACCACTTTGAAGATGCAAAATATTTTTTTCTTGTGAAACAAACAAGAAATAAGACCAAAAAAAAGAACTTGAACGTGCATAATTATTCACCCCCCAGTTCAGATTTAAGTATAACTTTTGTAAGACTGAATCTTTTAGTGATGGGTCTAATGCTTTAACAATTTCTGTCCTCAGAATTCATATTCATTATATAAATAGGCCCATTTAATTTTGTCTGGCTTGCCATTCTCTCATAATTTTAAAAACTGTTCGCTAGGCATAGGCAAGACCATAAGAAAATAGGTAAACTGGGATAATACTAAAGAGTTAATCAGGGTGATTCTTCCACAAATAGACAGGTACTGTGCCTTGCAAAAGTATTCGTCCCCCTTGGCGTTTTTCCTATTTTGTTGCATTACAACCTGTAATTTAAATTTATTTTTATTTGGATTTCATGTAATGGACATACACAAAATAGTCCAAATTGGTGAAGTGAAATGAAAAAAATAACTTGTTTCAAAAAAGTCTACAAAATAAATAACCGGAAAGTGGTGCGTGCATATGTATTCACCCCCTTTGCTATGAATCCCCTAAATAAGATCTGGTGCAACAAATTACCTTCAGAAGTCACATAATGAGTTAAATAAAGTCCACCTGTGTGCAATCTAAGTGTCATATGATCTGTCACATGATCTCAGTACCTGTTCTGAAAGGCCCCAGAGGCTGCAACACCACTAAGCAAGGGGCACCACCAAGCAAGTGGCACCATGAAGACCAAGGAGCTCTCCAAACAGGTCAGGGACACAGTTGTGGAGAAGGACAGATCAAGGTTGGGTTATAAAAAAATATCAAAAACTTTGAACATCCCACTGAGCACCATTTTAAAATCCATTATTAAAAAATGGAAAGAATATGGCACCACAACAAACCTGCCAAGAGAGGGCCGCCCACCAAAACTCACGGACCAGGCAAGGAGGGCATTAATCAGAGAGGCAACAAAGAGACCAAAGATAACCCAGAAGGAGCTGCAAAGCTCCAAAGCGGAGATTGGAGTATCTGTCATTAGGACCACTTTAAGCCGTACACTCCACAGAGCTGGGCTTTACGGAAGAGTGGCCAGAATGAAAGCCATTGCTTAAAGAAAAAAATAAGCAAACACATTTGGTGTTCGCCAAAAGGCACGTGGGAGACTCCCCAAACATATGGAAGAAGGTACACTGGTCAGATGAGACTAAAATTGGAAAACGCTATGTCTGGCGCAAACCCAACACCTCTCCTCACCCCGAGAACATCATCCCCACAGTGAAGCATGGTGGTAGCAGCATCATGCTGTAGGGATGTTTTTCATCGGCAGGGACTGGGAAACTGGTCAGAATTGAAGGAATGATGGATGGCGCTAAATACAGGGAAATCCTTGAGGGAAATCTGTTTTCAGTCTTCCAGAGATTTGAGACTGGGACGGAGGTTCACCTTCCAGCAGAACAAAGACCCTAAGCATACTGATAAAGCAACACTCTGGTGGTTTAAGGGGAAACATTTAAATGTCTTGCAATGGCCTAGTCAAAGGCCAGACCTCAATCCAATTGAGAATATGTGGTATGACTTAAAGATTGCTGTACACCAGCAGAACCCATCCAACTTGAAGGAGCTGGAGCAGTTTTGCCTTGAAGAATGGACAAAAATCCCAGTGGCTAGATGTGCCAAACTTATGGAGACAAACCTCAAGAGACTTGCAGCTGTAATTTCTGCAAAAGGTGGCCCTGACCTGTTTGGCGAGCTCTTTGGTCTTCATAGTGCCGCTTGCTTGGTGGTGCCCCTTGCTTAGTGGTGTTGCAGACTCTGGGGCCTTTCAGAACAGGTGTATATATGCTGAGATCATGTGACAGATCATGTGACAGATCATGTGACACTTAGTTTGCACACTAATTCTGTGACTTCCGAAGGTTATTGGTTGCACCAGATCTTATTTAGGGGCTTCATAGCATAGGGGGTGAATACATATGCACGCACCACTTTTCTGTTATTTCGTTTTTAGAATTTTTTTCATTTCACTTCACCAATTTGGACTATTTTGTGTATGTCCGTTACATGAAATCCAAATAAAAGTCCATTTAAATTACAGGTTGTAATGCAACAAAATAGGAAAAAAACGGCAAGGGGGGTGAATACTTTTGCTAGGCACTGTAAGTATCTGTGAATGTGTGGGTCGAGTCCAGTGAGTGTGCATAGAGTCAATGCAAATAGTGCGGGTAGCCATTTGATTAACTGTTCAGCAGTCTTATGGCTTGGGGGGGTAGAAGCTGTTCAGGACCCTTTTGGTCCCAGACTTGGCGCTCCAGTACCGCTTGCCATCTGCTAGCAGAGTGAACAGTCTATTGCTTTGGTGGCAGGGGTCTTTGACAATTTTCCGGGCCATTCTCTGACACCGCTTGGTATAGAGGTCCTGGATTGCAGGGAGCTCGGCCCCAGCGATGCACTGGGCCGTCCGCACCACCCTCTCTAGCGCCTTGCCGTCGGATGCCAAGCAGTTGCCATACCAAGCGGTGATGCAACCAGTCAAGATGCTGTCAATGGTGCAGCTGTTGAACTTTTTGAGGATCTGAGGGCCCATGCCAAATCTTTTCAGCCTCCTGAGGGGAAGAGGCGTTGTCGTGCCTTCTTCACAACTGTGTTGGTGTGTGTGGACCATGTTAATTATTTAGTGAAGTGGACACAGAGAAACTTGACCCACTCCATTACAGCCCCTCCATATCCTGTTGTCCACGATCAGCACCTTTGTCTTACTGACGTTGAGGGAGAGGTTGTTGTCCTGGCACCACAGTGCCAGGTCACTGACCTCCTCCCTATAGGCTGTCTCCTCATCGTCGGTGATCAGGCCTACCACCGTCTTGTCGTCAGCAAACTTAATGATTGTGTTGGAGTCGAGCGCAGCCACACAGTCATGGGTGAACAGGGAGTACAGGATGGGACTGAGCACGGGCCCCTGTGTTGAGGGTCAGCGTGGCAGATGTGATGTTACCTACCTTCACCACCTGGGGGCGGCCCGTCAGGAAGTCCAGGATCCAGTTGCAGAGGGAGGTGTTCAGTCCCAGGGTCCTGAGCATAGTGATGAGCTTGGAGGGCACTATGGTGTTGAACGCTGAGCTGTAGTCAATGAACAGCATTCTCACATAGGTGTTCCTCTTATCCAGGTGGGAGAGGGCAGTGTGGAGTGCAATAGAGATTGCGTCATCTGTGGATCTGTTGGGGCGGTATGTGAATTGGAGTGGGTCTAGGCTGCCTTTCAAATAATTTAATGGCTACAGATGTGAGTGCTACGGGGCGAAAATCATTTAGACAGGATACCTTGGCGTCCTTGGGCACAGGGACTATGGTGGTCTGCTTGAAACATGTAGGTATTACAGACTGGGTCAGGGAGAGGTTGAAAATGTCAGTGAAGACACTTGCCAGCTGGTCAGCGCATGCTCTGAGTACGTGTCCTGGTAATCCGTCTGGCCAGCGGCTTTGTGACTGTTAACCTGTTTAAAGGTCTTACTCACATTGGTTACGGAGAGCGAGATCACAGTCGTCCGGAACAGCTGGTGCTATCATGCATGGTTCATAGTTGCATGCCTCGAAGCGAGCATAGAAGGTATTTAGCTTGTCTGGTAGACTTGCGTCACTGGGCAGCTCGCGGCTGGGTTTCCCTTTGTAATCCGTGATAGTTTGCAGCCCTGCCACATCCGACGAACGTCAGAGCCGGCGTAGTAGGTTTTAATCTTAGTCCTGTATTGACGCTTTGCCTGTTTGATGGCTCGTCAGAGATCGTAGCAGGATTTCTTATAAGCGTCCAGGCGTTTTATGGTAGAGTGGCCAGACGGAAGCCACTCCTCAGTAAAAGGCACATGACAGTCCGCTTGGAGTTTGCCAAAAGGCATTCAGGCTTGGCCAAGCGTCATGTCTGGAGAAATCCTGGCACCATCCCTACGGTGAAGCATGGTGGTGGCAGCATCATGCTGTGGGGATGTTTTTCAGCGGCAGGGACTGGGAGACTAGTCAGGATTGAGAGAAAGATGAACGGAGCAAAGTACAGAAAGATCCTTGATGAAAACCTTCTCCAGAGTGCTCAGGACCTCAGACTGGGGCGAAGGTTCACCTTCCAACAGGACAACGACCCTAAGCACACAGCCAAGACAACTCAGGAGTGGCTTGAGGACAAGTCTTTGAATATCCTTGAGTGGCCCAGCCAGAGGGGGGTTTAAGCACTTGCAAAAATGTCTAAAAACCAGTTTTTGCTTAGTTATTATGGGGTATTGTGTGTAGATTCATGAAAAACAATTTAATCAATTTTAGAATAAGGCTGTAACGTAACAAAATGTGGAAAAAGTAAACGGGTCTGAATACTTTCCGAATGCACTGTATATGTACGGTCACTGTGGGGATGACGTAGACGATGCAGGTATTAATGAAGCCGGTGACTGATGTGGTCCTCAATGTTATCGGGTGAATCCCAGAACATATTCCAGTCTGTGCTAGCGAAAAAAGTCCTGTAGCTTAGCATCTGCTTTATTGGACCACTTCCGTATTGAATGCGTCACTGGTACTTCCTGTTTGAGTTTTTGCTTGTAAGCAGGAATCAGGAGGATAGAGTTATGGTCAGATTTGCTGAAGGGAGGGCAGGCGAGAGCTTAGTATGCATTTCTGTGGGTGGAGTAAATGTGGTCTAGAGTTTTGTCGCCTCTGGTTGCACAGGTGACATGCTGGTAAAAATGGGGTAAAATTGATTTCAGTTTCCCTGCAGTAAAATAACTGGCAACTACGAGCACCGCCTCTGGATGTGCATTTTCTTGTTTGCTTATGGACCTATACAGCTCGTTGAGTGCTGTCTTAATGCCAGCATCGGTTTTGTGGGGGTAAATAGACAGCTATGAAGAATATAGATGAAAACTCTCTTGGTAAATAATGTGGTCTGCAGCTTACCATGAGGTATTCTAACTCAGGCGAGCAAAACCTTGAGACTTCCTTTAAATTAGAGATTGCGCACCAGTTGTTGTTAACAAAGACACACACCACTCCTCCCTAAACTTCCCAGACGCTGCTGTACGGTCTTGACGATGCATAGAAAAGCTAGATGTATATTATCTGTGTCCTTGTTCAGCCACGACACGGAGAAACAAAGGATATTACAGTTCTTCAGGACCCGTTTATAGGATAGTCTCTAACGGAGGTCGTCCAGTTTGGTCTCCAGTGACTGTACGTTCGCCAAAAGAACTGAGGGTAGGGGTGTTTTTTTTGCACGCTAACGTAGTTTCATCAGTATGCCCGCCCGTCTGCCTCTTTTGTGGCGTTCGCTTACTTTTCCGAGTCCCGGGGATAGAGCCTTGTCCGGAGTAAGCAGAACATCCATAGCAGCTGACTCATTGAAGTAGAAGTTGTCGTCCAAATTGAGGTTAGTGATCGCTGTTCTGATGTCCAGAAGCTGTTTTCGGTCATATGAAATGATGGCGGAGACATTATGTAAAAAAAAAGTAAAGATCAGTGTAAAAAAACACACAAAGTAGCAGAATTGGTCGGGAGCCCGTAAAACGGCCGCTATCAACTGCAGTGCTATCTAAAGGTCCATTGCAGCTGTTTTTATCTCAGCAATTCAGTACCTTACTGTTATTGGCAGAGATGTTTGGAACTCTCTTTCTTATTGGTCTATTAACTAATTTACCACCTGCTCATATGCCACCCTTAATTTTCATTCAGCTGAGGCTCTTGTTTTTCTGTTCTTTTAACTAGTAAACAAATTAGAAATTCTACCGCTTCGAACAGGGATACCAGACTGGAATTCAGGTCACTGGCTTACCTCTTTTTGTTTAATTGGAGTTGGAGACCAAATACTGGTCATCCTCTCACATAAACAGGGACAAAGATGACAACTGACACTATTCTGTCTAAATTCAAGATTTTTTCCCATTCATTTCAGATACACAACTTGTTTTGAGTATGTATTTTACTAAGACCATATTGTTGAATGAACTGTATTCATCAGTTTGAATTATGGATCATTGAATATATGTTGATTATGTAGAGAGACTGTATCCTGTTTTGTCTTTTTCACAACAGAGTGTCCTCAAGCACCCCTCTAACTCAGCTGTGTGTGTCTGTTTGTCCATAGTGCGGCGGGAGGGGAGATCTTTAACCAATGTGTTGCCGAAGGAGACGAGGCGTTCACCCAGGAGGAGGTCAAACGGTTAATGGGACAGATCCTGGAAGGCGTGGCCTTCCTACACAGAAACAACATTGTTCACCTGGACCTCAAGGTACATCATCAGGCTGTATTTGTGATATCTGATTTAAGATGCATTCAAACCACAAAAATGAACACTTCTCCATAACAAAGTAGCATAGAATAAATAAATAGAAATAAAAGATCCCCGAAATTTTCCATACACACAAAAAGCTTATTTCTCTCAAATGTTGTGCACAAATTTGTTTACATCTCTATGGGTGAGCATTTCTCCTTTGCCAACATAACCCATACACCTGACAGGTGTGGCATATCAACAAGCTGATTAAATAGCATGATCATTACACAGGTGGACCTTGTGCTGGGAACAGTAAAAGGTCATTCTAAAATGTGCAGTTTTGTCACACAACACAATGCCACGGATGTCGCAAGTTTTGAGGGAGCGTGCAATTGGTATGCTGACTGCAAGAATGTTCACCAGAGCTGTTGCCAGAAAATGTCATGTTCATTTCTCTATCATAAGCCCCCTCCAATGTCGTTTTAGAGAGTTTGGCAGTACATCAGGCATAAGCTACGGACAATGAACACAATTGCATTTCATCTATGGCAAATTTGAATGCACACAAATACAGTGACGAGATTCTGAGGCCCTTTTTTTTATTTATTTTTTATATCTGTGACCAACAGATGCATCACTGTATTCCTAGTCATGTGCAATCCATAGATTAGGGCCTAATGCATTTATTTATTGACTGATTTCCTCATATGAACTGTAACTCAGTAAAATCTTTGAAATTGTTGCATATTGCGTTTAGATTTTTGTTCAGTATAGAATAAACAGAGTTAACATTGATGATTCAATATTCCTCATTCACTGTCCCATTGAATGGTATTGTCCTCTTAGCTTCAGAACATCCTACTGACCAGTGGCTGTCCTTTGGGGGATATAAAGATAGTGGACTTTGGCCTGTCTAGAAGGCTGTGTCAAAACCAGGAGCTCAGGGAGATCATAGGCACACCAGAGTATGTCGGTGAGTGAAAAAGTATTCATTAAATCTTTTTTTAAATGTATTGGAACATACAAATAAATTCTTACACAAGGCTTTTTTTTTTTACAACTTGATGATCACACAGATCTCTTACTATTCACTGTTTCTCTTTTGTTGGCAGCCCCAGAGATTCTGAGTTTTGAACCAATCAGCACAGCAACTGACATGTGGTAAGACAAGTATACAATCTCAACCTATTAGTTTGTGGCTTAGCCATGACGACAGAGGTTACGTTTTTTCAATGGCAATAGATCATTGACTATGCTATGTCTTGCTAACCCAGGAGCATAGGGGTGCTGGCGTATATGATGTTGACGAGGACGTCACCATTTCTTGGAGAAGACAAGCAGGAGACCTTTCTCAACATCTCCCAGATCAACATCGACTACACCGAGGAAGAGCTGCAGGACCTCCCAGCCTCAGCCATCCACTTCATCCGGTCTCTTCTCATCAAAGAGCCCAAGTGAGATTTCATCCCAAACCATTATTGTAATTATTCACAAATTATTAGTCTTGGTAGTTCTTAGGTAGATGTTCCATCTTAATTGAAGACCTTGATAAAAACCACAACAGTGAATTTCATACTCTTGATTTGATTGAAAATGTAACATAAAACAATGTGATACTGATACAATGCATCCCTCTCTATCCTGTCTAAAGGTCTCGTGCCACTGCTGAAGAGTGCCTGAGGCATCACTGGCTCCAGGACCAAGTCCAAGAGAAGAGAGAAGAGGATCTCACCAGCGAGATCTGCCAACGGGCACACACCAAGCCTGCTTCCCCCTCCTCCACCTCCTCATTATCCTCCTGTTGCTCGTCATCCTCAGAGGAAGGTCCTTTGGTAGAGGAGTTGATAGTAGTGGCTGCCTACACCTTAGGACAGTGCAGGCCGACGATGCCCGACCCCGAGACTCTGTCTCTGGATGTGAAGGCCATCTCCAAGCGGTTCAGGTTCGAGGAGCCATTCAGCTCCCTACAGAAGATAATCTTCTGATAGATGTGTATGAGCCCTCCTACTGTAGATGGGCTCTTTACTGATTGTATTTTGTTTACCACACACCACACTGTCTCTACTCCACAAGCCAAACTACACTGCTCAAAAAAATAAAGGGAACACTAAAATAACACATCCTAGATCTGAATGAATGAAATAATCTTATTAAATACTTTTTTCTTTACATAGTTGAATGTGCTGACAACAAAATCACACAAAAATTATCAATGGAAATCAAATGTATCAACCCATGGAGGTCTGGATTTGGAGTCACCCTCAAAATTAAAGTGGAAAACCACACTACAGGCTGATCCAACTTTGATGTAATGTCCTTCAAACAAGTCAAAATGAGGCTCAGTAGTGTGTGTGGCCTCCACGTGCCTGTATGACCTCCCTACAACGCCTGGGCATGCTCCTGATGAGGTGGGGGATGGTCTCCTGAGGGATCTCCTCCCAGACCTGGACTAAAGCATCCACCAACTCCTGGACAGTCTGTGGTGCAACGTGGCGTTGGTGGATTGAGCGAGACATGATGTCCCAGATGTGCTCAATTGGATTCAGGTCTGGGGAACGGGCGGGCCAGTCCATAGCATCAATGCCTTCCTCTTGCAGGAACTGCTGACACACCCCAGCCACATGAGGTCTAGCATTGTCTTGCATTAGGAGGAACCCAGGGCCAACCGCACCAGCATATGGTCTCACAAGGGGTCTGAGGATCTCATCTCGGTACCTAATGTCAGTCAGGCTACCTCTGGCGAGCACATGGAGGGCTGTGCGGCCTCCCCAAAGAAATGCCACCCCACACCATGACTGACCCACTGCCAAACCGGTCATGCTGGAGGATGTTGCAGGCAGCAGAACGTACTCCACCGCGTCTCCAGACTGTCACGTCTGTCACGTGCTCAGTGTGAACCTGCTTTCATCTGTGAAGAGCACAGGGCGCCAGTGGCAAATTTGCCAATCTTGGTGTTCTCTGGCAAATGCCAAACGTCCTGCACGGTGTTGGGCTGTAAGCACAACCCCCACCTGTGGACGTCGGGCCCTCATACCACCCTCATGGAGTCTGTTTCTGACCGTTTGAGCAGACACATGCACATTTGTGGCCTGCTGGAGGTCATTTTGCAGGGCTCTGGCAGTGCTCCTCCTGCTCCTCCTTGCACAAAGGCGGAGGTAGCAGTCCTGCTGCTGGGTTGTTGCCCTCCTACGGCCTCCTCCATGTCTCCTGATGTACTGGCCTGTCTCCTGGTAGCGCCTCCATGCTCTGGACACTACGCTGACAGACACAGCAAACCTTCTTGCCACAGCTCGCATTGATGTGCCATCCTGGATGAGCTGCACTACCTGAGCCACTTGTGTGGGTTGTAGACTCCGTCTCATGCTACCACTAGAGTGAAAGCACCACCAGCATTCAAAAGTGACCAAAACATCAGCCAGGAAGCATAGGAACTGAGAAGTGGTCTGTGGTCACCACATGCAAAACCAGTCCTTTATTGGGGGTGTCTTGCTAATTGCCTATAATTTCCACCTGTTGTCTATTCCATTTGCACAACAGCATGTGAAATGTATTGTCAATCAGTGTTGCTTCCTAAGTGGACAGTTTGATTTCACAGAAGTGTGATTGACTTGGAGTTACATTGTGTTGTTTAAGTGTTCCCTTTATTTTTTTGAGCAGTGTATATCTCTGTTTGTCTGCGTCGTATTTTAATGAATTAAACTACTGAAGTTGTTTGTTTGGTGCCATTCTTTCACTTTCTGTCAATGTTGTGGTTCATGTTTTGCTTGTTTGCCATTATTTTCCTAATGTTCATACAGTATGTTCAGAATTCACAAGTACAATTTATTTTGCTATCATAACTTGTATAAAGCCATGACTGTTATTTCATTTTGTTTATTTCCACCTTTAGTTTACACGTTTTACAGATCTCCTTTTCACTGTAAAATGTCACGTCCTAATAAATCAATCTGAAAACATAGAACAATACCTCCTTTTGAGAGTTGGGAGACAACATTTCTGGTTGTTCAGATACTGTACAGTACAACTGGAACCATTGCCTAATGTTTCTCAAGTGCCGAATATTAAGATATGATGGCTTTGGACTAAGCAATTACCAGTGTTGGGGTGTGCTGAACTAAATGTAGTTAAATTAGAACGAAACACTACTTTCTTTTTGCCAAAAGAAAATATGGATGAAGTAGGCAAAAATGTCCTTTCTTTTTTTGTCACCAGACCTGACTTATTCTCACTTGAAACAGTTTTTTGTGTTTAATAGGATAAATTACACATTCTGTTAACATCTTAGTACAGAGTGATAAGTTCTTGCAATTTGTATTCCATGACATTTCAGATTTAATTATAATTATTCACAAAGTAGTTTGAATGTAGTGAACTACTTTTTCAAAGTAACTTTAGTTAAGTAAACTATATTTTTCTTAAAGGTAGCTTAATGTAGCTTAACTTCTTCCAGTGTGAAGTAATTGGTAACTGGCAAAATATTTTCAGAGTAGCATCCCCAACACTGGCAATTACATGGTTCATTTGGAGAAATGTTCATAAGATGCATTGTATTATACTAGGAATGTGTAGAACAATTGCTGCGCTGTCATTGTCCTTTCATTCTTCTAAGTAGGATTCACATTTTGCTCAGGACAGCACTGTTTATAAGAAATATGCATGACATTTAATGGACATAACACTTCTTTCCTGTTTCTTATACAGTATATACCCTGTATGTAAATGTCATGTACAAAGTAGCATCAATAAACATTGGTCAAATCATCGACATTACTATGGTGATTCCAAACCAAGAGGCAGCTTGTGTATGCCCTTTGTCTAAATAAGTATCCAATGGTGTGCACTGCACTCTGGTGCTTTTTTCAAATATGACTATCTACACTTCAATTGATAAAGCTATGGCGACACCATGCATGATGACAGGAGGACAATTGCAGCAGTTCTATCTTCATCCCACTGTAGTTTTGGTGACTGGTGAGCAGATCAGGAGGACCAGTTGCCTGTCTCAAGTCCCTCTGTCTTATTTGGCGGTGGTGTTGATGGTGTGAAGGTGAGAAGGTCAATACGCTGACCCTCTCTAAGCTGCAGCACTGCCTGCGTTAAATTCCACCTAGCGCCGCCAGGGAAAGAGAGAGGAGGGTACTGTATGATGAACAACAGCATTCAATTGCATGGGGTCGAACAGCCTTTATGTACTTTGAAGGTCAGTACATACAGTACTTGTTTTCATTCTATGGATCAATCAATTTCCTCTAAGAGTGTATTTCTATAGAATAATATTGATTAAGAGTACCTACCCAAGTGTTTGGGGGTCTCTTACTGAGGATGTGTAGAGGTAGCCACCATCTTTAGATCCTGTCACTGGGATTTTGATCTGAAACATATAAAGTATTATGAATATCTAGCAAACGGTGATGGATGATGGTAATGCTGGTGATGCTCCTAGTTTGTTCCCATACAGGTGGAATGACCCTCAGAGAGCTACCTCAGCTGTGTAAGGTTCCACCCGGTTGTGTCGGTCAGACAGGTGGATGTTGTGGACCTTCAGGGGTGGTGCTCCCAGACTGTCCATGGCTGTCTGGTTGGCTTTCAGCTGCTCCAGGGCTAGACGGTGGTAGTCCGACCGCGAGAAGTTCTCTAGCAAAGAAAACAAAGAGTGGCAGGCAGAAATACTTACATGAGCACATTTTGCTTTCATTCACTTTCTTACATTCACTCCCTAAAATTAAAGAACAATGAATGATCCATGGCAACACCTACACTGAGTGATACTTACTTTGCAGAAGGTAGTACATCGTGCCGCAGCCAGCACCAGTCAACAAGGTGGTGTAGATGGCCATCTGCTGGAGTTTGCTTGTGGAGACCCTCATTACTGTTGCTTAGAGTAGCACACTCACAGTACCAGTGACAAGAAGACCCTGGTGAGTGGACTGTTCAATGACAGATATAAACTCAGCAAAAAAAGAAACGTCTTCTCACTGTCAACTGCGTTTATTTTCAGCAAACTTACGTGTAAATATTTGTATGAACATAACAAGATTCAACAACTGAGACATAAACTGAACAAGTGCCACAGACATGTGACTAACATAAATTGAATAATGTGTCCGTGAACAATCAAAATCAAAAGTAACAGTCAGTATCTGGTGTGGCCACCAGCTGCATTAAGTACTGCAGTGCATCTCCTCCTCATGGACTGCACCAGATTTGCCAGTTCTTGCTGTGAGATGTTACCCCACTCTTCCACCAAGGCACCTGCAAGTTCCCGGACATTTCTGGGGGAAATGGCCCTAGCCCTCACCCTCCTATCCAACAGGTCCCAGACGTGCTCAATGTTATTGAGATCCGGGCTCTTCGCTAGCTATGGCAGAACACTGACATTCCTGTCTTGCAGGAAATCACGCACAGAACGAGCAGTATGGCTGGTGGCATTGTCATGCTGGAGGGTCATGTCAGGATGAGCCTGCAGGAAGGGTACCACATGAGGGAGGAGGATGTCTTCCCTGTAACGCACAGCGTTGAGATTGCCTGCAATGACAACAAGCTCAGTCCGATGATGCTGTGACACACCGCCCCAGACCATGACGGACCCTCCACCTCCAAATCGATCCCGCTCCAGAGTACAGGCCTCGGTGTAACGCTCATTCCTTCAACGATAAACGCAAATCCGACCATCACCAATGGTGAGACAAAACCGCGACTCGCCAGTGAAGAGCACTTTTTGCCAGTCCTGTCTGGTCCAGCGACGGTGGGTTTGTGCCCATAGGCGACGTTGTTGCCGGTGATGTCTGGTGAGGACCTGCCTTACAACAGGCCTACAAGCCCTCAGTCCAGCCTCTCTCAGGCTATTGCAGACAGTCTGAGCACTGATGGAGGGATTGTATTTTCCTGGTGTAACTCGGGCAGTTGTTGTTGCCATCCTGTACCTGTCCCGCAGGTGTGATGTTCGGATGTACTGATCCTGTGCAGGTGTTGGTACACGTGGTCTGCCTCTGCGAGTGCGATCAGCTGTCCGTCCTGTCTCCCTGTAGCGCTGTCTTAGGCGTCTCACAATACGGACATTGCCCTGGCCACATCTGCAGTCCTCATGCCTCCTTACAGCATGCCTAAGGCACGTTCACGCAGATGAGCAGGGACCCTGGGCATCTTTCTTTTGGTGTTTTTCAGAGTCAGTAGAAAGGCCTCTTTAGTGTCCTAAGTTTTCATAACTGTGACCTTAATTGCCTACCGTCTGTAAGCTGTTAGTGTCTTAACGACTGTTCCACAGGTGCATGATCATTAATTGTTTATGGTTCATTGAACAAGCATGGGAAACAGTGTTTAAACCCTTTACAATGAAGATCTGTGAAGTTATTTAGGATTTTTACGAATTATCTTTGAAAGACAGGGTCCTGAAAAAGGGAAGTTTCTTTTTTTGCTGAGTTTACAATGTTATAAAGATGTTCTAATCTATATGAAATGTCCAAAATTGACAAATTCCACAAAACACTTTTTTTTTACCAAAAAGGTCAGACCACCATTCACTGAGAACTGGATCATCCCACATTTCATAAGGATCTTTGCGCCAAAAGGAGTACACATTCAGATAATTTGCACATTTGATCATCCAACTCATGAAATAATCATATTTCTCTTGGATCTGTTACTGTTTATTGTCGTCTTTATCATATCAGTCTGTTTTGTTAAAGGGATAGTTTCCTTACCCTGTAAGCAGTCTATGGACCAGCTATGACAGCAGCCCATGCTTTGGTTTTGTTTACCTGGCCACTGTTTTAAATGCTAGCTTTTAAGCATTTTTAGCATAAATCCAATGCAAGTCAATGGTACCTATATTAACATTTCCGTGCTTCATGTCCAAATCATCTGTAAGTAACTTAATTGAGCTACACAATAGACTTTTGTTGATACTTTAGGATGATTTTGACCTGAAGCGCAGATTAAATCAAAGCATGGATTTTTGTCATACCTTTTCCATAGACTGCTTACAGGGCAAGGAAACCAATATATCACTTTGTAATTAGGGTGAACTATCCCTTTAAAGCTAAAATCCTTAGTTGAAACAATAACAAAGGGTCACCCCGCCTGTGTTTTAGTGAAAAGCTGAAGGATGGGCCTGGAGAAATATAACCACTCTCAAATTTATAGACAGAGCTATAGATGCAAGGACAGACCATCCATGATATCCAATATTATAGTTTTAACGATGTTTTGAGGCTATACAGTGTTTGTTGACATTTACATTGTTTACAATCATATGCCTAAAACAAGCTTATATTTTGAATTCTGATGGGGTACGACCGTTGAACTAAAGCTCATGAGGAATTTATAAGTTATATTCCTCAATAATCAATAGCCATCTCATTAACTGATAAGTCCAAAAATGGATGTAGCAAATAAAGGATTCTAACTTTAAGGGTAGGTCAGATATTAAAATGACAATTTCCTCTTTTACTGGTCACATTCTGTGTGGCTGAGTGCAGTAGGCCTATAATTGCACAATGAAAGAATGAGGTTTGGGTAGGGCATTATGTAATTTTAAGACAGCAAAATGTGAAAGAAAGTTCAAGGGGGTGTAGACTTTCTATAGGCACTGTATTTCTTAAAATGATCATCTACAGTATATTCATTTTAGTGTCAATCTATACTGAACCAAAATCTAAACAGAACATATAAAGTGTTGGTCCCATGTTTTATGAGCTGAAATGTTACATATGCACAAAAAGCTTATTTCTCTCAGATTTTGTGCACAAATTTGTTTACATCCCTGTTAGTGAGCATTTCTCCTTTGCCAAGATAATCCATCCACCTGACAGGTGTGGCATATCAAGAAGCTGATTAAACAGCATGATCATTACACAGGCACACCTTGTGCTGGGGACCATAAAAGGCCACTCTAAAATGTGCAGTTTTGTCACACAACACAATGCCACAGATGTCTCAAGTTTTGAGGGAGCGTGCAATTGGCATGCTGACTGCCCACCAGAGCTGTTGCTAGAGAATTTCTCTACCATAAGCCACCTCCTATGTCGTTTTAGAGAATATGACAGTACGCCCAGCCGGCCTCACAACCGCAGACCACGTGTAAGCACGCCAGCTCAGGACCTCCACAACCGGCGATCACCTACAGGATCGTCTGAGAACAGCCACCCGGACAACTGATGAAACTGAGGAGTATTTCTGTCTGTAATAATGCCCTTTTGTGGGGAAAAACGAATTCTGATTGACTGGGCCTGGCTCCCCAGTGGGTGGGCCTATGCCCTCCCAGGCCCACCCATGGCTGCGCCCCTGCCCAGTCATGTGAAATCCATGGATTAGGGCCTAATTTATTTATTTCAATTGACTGATTTCCTTATTTGAACTGCAACTCGGTAGAATCGTTGAGATTGTTTCATGTTGCGTTTATATGGCAACATCGCCATCTAGGGTATTCAAACTGCAATTACAGTCTTTGAGTGTAAGCTCAACCAAGGACAGCACTGTAGCGCAGACTGCCTTGGAAATTCATTCAAGCAAAACTTTCTTGTAGTCTGGTGTAGGCATTTCGTTCGAAAACTTTTACAACAAAATTAAATTTAGAGGAAAATGCACTCTAAAAGTACTCTAAAAACATCATTGAGACTGTCATCCACAACAACAGGTCAAAAAGAGACTGAACTGAGGACATTCATGCTGTATCCATGGGAGTCGCCATATTGCTGCCTAAACCTAAATCTAACCTAAAGCTTGCTTGGGCTGAAACCAGTCATTGGCTGAAACATATCCATACATTTTAAAATACATGTAAACGTTATGTAAATAAACGAAAATATAATAATTACCTAATGTCAAAGCTTGTCGTAATTTGTTTTTAAAACAACAAAATTCAACCACATAAGAGGAGGCGAGACGTCCATATCACGTGATTAGACTCCACGTTATATGCATACGTCACACGCAAAAAACAGCGTTATGAAAGTTGCTACACAGTTATATCACCGCAACAAGAGCTCGACAGAATCATTTTATTTACTTAAACAAGTAAACCGCGTCAACGGCCGTCGAGGGTAATTCAGAAAATAGTAGGTAAGGACATCAAGCTTGTATGTAAACCAGTTTTAATTAGTGCTGATTGCGGAACTAATTCAACAAGGACAGCATTGTTACCTTCATTGCAACATTGTTGCCAGGAAATTCGTGAAGTTGTTTTACGTGTGTTACTTTATTTGTTATTGATCTCATGCAGAACATAGACTTATCATTTTCATGTCAATTATGAATTTCCTAGTAATTTCATTGTCTAGTTAAGTTACTTGTGTAAAGCAATGGAGACCTCGAGGGTTCCTATTATTTGCATTTGTAATGATCAGCATTCCACCCTAGCTCTAGTTTATATCCCTGTAATATGAATACCTTGAGATGTTTATAGCTATCGTTGAGTTTACTAAGCTACACCCCACCCATGACAGTGCTTAGCACCCATGATAGCTAGTGTACTCATTATGACACTGCACCATTTTCGGACTGATAGGAAGGAAGCCTTTATCAAATGTGCACACTGGATAAAGACCCAAGATAAGGCCTGGACATACAGTGCATTCGGGAAAGTATTCAGACCCCTTGACTTTTTCCACATTTTGTTACGTTACAGCCTTATTCTAAAAGGGATTAAATAAAGGTTTCCCCTCATCGATCTACACACAATACCCCATAATGACAAAGCGAATACAGGTTTTTAGAAATGTTTGTAGATGTATTAAAAATAAAAAACGGATACCTTATTTACATAAGTATTCATACCCTTTTCTATGAGACTCAAAATTGAGCTCAAGGTGCATCCTGTTTCCATTGATCATCCTGCCAGGTCGCAGTTGTAAACGAGAACTTGTTCTCAACTGGCTTACCTGGTTAAATAAAGGTTAAATAAAAAATAAAAAAGATGTTTCTACAACTTGATTGGAGTCCACCTGTGGTAAATTCAATTGACTGGACATGATTTGGAAAGGCACACACCGGTCTAGAAATATCACGTTTAGATAAGTATTCAGACCCTTTACTCAGTACTTTGTTGAAGCACCTTTGGCAGCTATTACAGTCTCAAGTCTTCTTTGGTATGACGCTACAAGCTTGGCACACCTGTATTTGGGGAGTTTCTCCCATTCTTCTCTGCAGATCCTCTCAAGCTCTGTCAGGTTGGATGGGGAGCGTTGCTGCACAGCTATTTTCAGGTCTCTCCAGTGATGTTCGATCGGATTCAAGTCCGGGCTCTGACTGGGCCACTCAAGGACATTCAGAGACTTGTCCCGAAGCCACTCCTGCATTGTCTTGGCTGTGTGCTTAGGGTCTTTGTCCTGTTGGAAGGTGAACCATCGCCCCAGTCTGAGGTCCTGGGCGCTCAGGAGCAGGTTTTCATCAAGGATCTCTCTGTACTTTGCTCAGTTCATCTTTCCCTTGGTCCTGACTAGTCTCCCAGTCCCTGCTGCTGAAAAACATCCCCACAGCTGCCACCACACAGCTTCACCATAGGGATGGTGCAAGGTTTCCTCCAGACGTGATGCTTGGCATTCAGGCCAAAGAGTTCAATCTTGGTTTCATCAGGCCAGAGAATCTTGTTTCTCATGGTCTGAGATTAGTTAGGTGCCTTTTGGCAAACTCCAAGCGGGCTGTCATGTGCCTTTTTACTGAGGAGTGGCTTCTGTCTGGCCACTATACCATACAGGCCTGATTGGTGGAGTGCTGCAGAGATGGTTGTCCTTCTGGAAGGTTCTCCCATCTCCACAAAGGAACTCTGGAGCTCTGTCAGAATGACCATCGGGTTCTTGGTCACCTCCCTGACCAAGGCCCTTCTACCCCGATTGCTCAGTTTGGCCAGGCGGCTAGCTCTAGGAAGAGTCTTAGTGGTTCCAAACTTCTTCCATTTAAGAATGATGGAGGCCATTGTGTTCTTTGGACCTTCAATGCTGCAGAAATGTTTTGGTACCCTTCCCCAGATCTGTGCCTTGACACAATCTTGTCTCGGAGCTCTACGGACAATTCCTTCGACCTCATGGCTTGGTTTTTGCTCTGACATGCACTGTCAACTGTGGGACCTTATATAGACAGGTGTGCGCCTTTCCAAATCATGTCCAATCAATTGAATTTACCACAGCTGGACTCCAATCAAGTTGTTAAAACATTATCAAGGATTATCAATGGAAACAGGATGCACCTGAGCTCAATTTCAAGTCTCATAGCAAAGGGTCTGAATACTTAAGGTATTTCAGTTTTTTTATTTTTAATAAATGTGCAAACATTTCAAAAAAAAAAAAACATTTTTCGCTTTGTCATGATGGGGTATTGTGTGTAGGTTGAGAAAAACATTTAATTTAATCAATTTTAGAGTAAGGCAGTAATGTAACAAAGTGGAAAATGTCAACAGGTCTGAATACTTTCCGAATGCACTGTATGTTGGATCTGTCAGAATTTACAGAAGTGAAACGAGCAAGACATTGGTTTCTTTCTAACCATTTCCTTCCCAACTCCCTGTTCCTCTCTGCAGTCAGACATGTTTGGTTCAGTAGTGGTAGGCATCGGGACGGCAGGCTTTGTGAGGATCAGGGACATGCTAGCCCCTCTGCCTTCCAGTGCAGCTGAGAAGCTCAGTGTCAAAGGCTTCATATCCAGGTGAGGCACCAAGACATCTCATTGTTTGTTGACAGTAAAAAGGGAAAAAAAAAAGATTGCAATATACAAAAGAAATAGAACAGTATGGAATTACAATTAAAAAAGGAGGGACTGTTGGGTTCTTGTTTGAAATACTTGCTATACTAGAAGTTAATGATTACATGTATGAGGAATATACAGTTGAAGTTGGAAGTTTACATACACTTAGGTTGGAGTCATTAAACCTCGTTTTCAACCACTCCACAAATTTCTTGTTAACAAACTTTAGTTTTGGCAAGTCGGTTAGGACATCTACTTTGTGCATGACACAAGTAATTTTTCCAACAATTGATTACAGACAGATTTTTCACTTATAATTCACTGTACCACAATTCCAGTGGGTCAGAAGTTTACATACACTACGTTGACTGTGCCTTTAAACAGCTTGGAAAATTCCAGAAGATTATGTCATGGCTTTAGAAGCTTCTGATAGGCTAATTGACATAATTTGAGTCAATTGGAGGTGTACCTGTGGATGTATTTCAAGGCCTACCTTCAAACTCAGTGCCTTTTTGCTTGACATCATGGGAAAATCAAAAGAAATCAGCCAAGACCTCAGAAAAAAAATTGTCTGGTTCATCCTTGGGAGCAATTTCCAAACGCCTGAAGGTACCACTTTCATCTGTACAAACAATAGTACGCAAGTATAAACACCATGGGACCACGCAGCCGTCATACCGCTCAGGAAGGATACGCGTTCTGTCTCCTAGAGATGAACGTACTTTGGTGCGAAAAGTGCAAATCAATCCCAGAACAACAGCAAAGGACCTTGTGAAGATGCTGGAGGAAACAGGTACAAAAGTATCTATATCCATAGTAAAACGAGTCCTATATCGACATAACCTGAAAGGCCGCTCAGCAAGGAAGAAGCCACTGCTCCAAAACCGCCATAAAAAAGCCAGACTACGGTTTGCAACTGCACATGGGGACAAAGATCGTACTTTTTGGAGAAATGTCCTCTGGTCTGATGAAACAAAAATAGAACTGTTTGGCCATAATGACCATCGTTATGTTTGGAGAAAAAAGGGGGACGCTTGCAAGCCGAAGAACACCATCCCAACCGTGAAGCACAGGGGTGGCAGCATCATGCTGTGGGGGTACTTTGCTGCAGGAGGGACTGGTGCACTTCACAAAATAGATGGCATCATGAGGAAGGAAAAATTATGTGGATATATTGAAGCAACATCTCAAGACATCAATCAGGAAGTTAAAGCTTGGTCGCAAATGGGTCTTCCAAATGGACAATGACCCAAGCATACTTCCAAAGTTATGGCTTAAGGACAACAAAGTGAAGGTATTGGAGTGGCCATCACAAAGCCCTGACCACAATCCTATAGAACATTTGTGGGAAGAACTGAAAAAGCGTGTGCGAACAAGGAGGCCTACAAACCTGACTCAGTTACACCAGCTCTGTCAGGAGGAATGGGCCAAAATTCACCCAACTTATTGTGGGAAGCTTGTGGAAGGCTCCCCGACATGTTTGACCCAAGATAAACCATTTAATGGCAATGCTACCAAATACTAATTGAGTGTATGTAAACTTCTGACCCACTGGGAATGTGATGAAATACGCCCCACACCGCGTGGCTGCTGCCTCTCTAACCTGGTGGTCCCTGCACGCACCCCACACCTGGAGTTCCAGGTCTCAGGCAGCCTCTGGAACTGCCGTTCTGCTGCCAACAAGGCTGACTTCATCCCAGCCTATGCTACCCTCCAGTCCCTCGACTTCCTGGCGCTGACGGAAACATGGATTACCACTGAAAACACTGCTACTCCTACTGCTCTCTCCTCGTCTGACCATGTGTTCTCGCATACCCCGAGAGCATCTGGTCAGAGGGGTGGTGGCACAGGAATCCTCATCTCTCCCAAGTGGACATTCTCAATTTTTACCCTAACCCATCTGTCTATCTCCTCATTTGAATTCCATGCTGTCACAGTCACTAGCCCATTTAAGCTTAATATCCTTGTCATCTATCGCCCTCCAGGTTCCCTTGGAGAGTTCATCAATGAGCTTGACGCCTTGATAAGTTCCTTTCCTGAGGATGGCTCACCCCTCACAGTTTTGGGGGATTTCAACCTCCCTATGTCCACATTTGACTCATTTCTCTCTGCCTCCTTCTTTCCACTTCTCTCCTCTTTTGACCTCAACCTCTCACCGTCCCCCCCTACTCACAAGGCAGGCAATACGCTTGACCTCATCTTTACTAGATGCTGCTCTTCTACTAATCTCACTGCAACTCCCCTCCATGTCTCCGACCACTACTTTGTTTCCTTTTCTCTCTCGCTCTCCTCCCACACTACTCACTCTGCCCCTACACAGATGGTAATGCGCCGCCGCAACCTTCGCTCTCTCTCTCCTACTACTCTCTCCTCTTCCATCCTATCATCTCTTCCCTCTGCTCAATCCTTCTCCCTCCAATCTCCTGATTCTGCCTCCTCAACCCTCCTCTCCTCCCTTTCTGCATCCTTTGACTCTCTGTGTCCCCTATCCTCCCGGCCGGCTCGGTCCTCCCCTCCAGCTCCGTGGCTTGATGACTCATTGCGAGCTCACAGAACAGAGCTCCGGGCAGCGGAGCGGAAATGGAAGAAAACTAAACTCCCTGCCGACCTGGCATCTTTTCACTCCCTCCTCTCTACATTTTCTTCATCTGTTTCTGCTGCTAAGGCCGCTTTCTACCACTCTAAATTCCAAGCATCTGCCTCTAATCCTAGGAAGCTCTTTGCCACATTTTCCTCCCTCCTGAATCCCCCCCCCTCCTCTCTCTCTGTGGATGACTTCGTCAACCACTTTGAAAAGAAAGGTTGACGACATTCGATCCTCGTTTGTTAAGTCTAATGACACTGCTGGTCCTACTCACACTGCCCTACCCTATGCTTTGACTTCTTTCTCCCCTCTCTCTCCAGATAAAATCCTGCGGCTTGTGACTGCAGGCCGCCCAACAACCTGCCCGCTTGACCCCATCCCCTCCTCTCTTCTCCAGACCATCTCCGGTGACCTTCTCCCCTACCTCACCTCGCTGATCAACTCATCCTTGACCGCTGGCCATGTCCCTTCCGTCTTCAAGAGAGCGAGAGTTGCTCCCCTTCTCAAGAAACCAACACTCGATCCCACTGATGTCAACAACTACAGACCAGTATCCCTTCTTTCTTTTCTTTCCAAAACTATTGAGCGTGCCGTCTTTAGCCAACTCTCTTGCTATCTCTCTCAGAATGACCTTCTTGATCCAAACCAGTCAGGTTTCAGGACTGGTCATTCAACTGAGACTGCTCTTCTCTGTGTCACGGAGGCTCTCCGCACTGCTAAAGCTAACTCTCTCTCCTCTGCTCTTGTCCTTCTAGACCTGTCTGCTGCCTTTGATACTGTGAACCATCAGATCCTCCTCTCCACCCTCTCCGAGCTGGGCATCTCCGGCGCGGCTCACTCCTGGATTGCGTCCTACCTGACCGGTCGCTCCTACCAAGTGGCGTGGCGAGAAGCTGTCTCCGCACCACGTGCTCTCACCACTGGTGTCCCCCAGGGCTCAGTTCTAGGCCCTCTCCTTTTCTCCCTATACACCAAGTCACTTGGCTCTGTCATATCCTCACATGGCCTCTCCTATCATTGCTACGCTGACGATACACAACTAATCTTCTCCTTTCCCCCTTCTGATAACCAGGTGGCGAATCGCATCTCTGCATGTCTGGCAGACATATCAGTATGGATGACGGATCACCACCTCAAGCTGAACCCTGGCAAGACGGAGCTGCTCTTCCTCCCGGGGAAGGACTGCCCGTTCCATGATCTCGCCATCACGGTTGACAACTCCGCTGTGTCCTCCTCCCAGAGTGCGAAGAGCCTAGGCGTGACCCTGGACAACACCCTGTCGTTCTCCGCCAACATCAAGGCGGTGACCCGCTCCTGCAGGTTCATGCTCTACAACATTCGGAGAGTACGACCCTGCCTTACACAGGAAGCGGCACAGGTCCTAATCCAGGCACTTGTCATCTCCCGTCTGGACTACTGCAACTCGCTGTTGGCTGGCCTCCCTGCCTGTGCCATTAAACCCCTACAACTCATCCAGAATGCCGCAGCCCGTCTGGTGTTCAACCTTCCCAAGTTCTCTCACGTCACCCCCCTCCTCCGCACACTCCACTGGCTTCCAGTTGAAGCTCGCATCCGCTACAAGACCATGGTGCTTGCCTATGGAGCAGTGAGGGGAACGGCACCTCTGTACCTTCGGGCTCTGATCAGTCCCTACACCCAAACGAGGGCATTGCGTTCATCCACCTCTGGCCTGCTGGCTCCCCTTCCTCTGCGGAAGCATAGTTCCCGCTCAGCCCAGTCAAAACTGTTCGCTGCTCTGGCACCCCAATGGTGGAACAAGCTCCCTCACGACGCCAGGACAGCGGAGTCACTCACCACCTTCCGGAGACATTTGAAACCCCACCTCTTTAAGGAATACCTGGGATAGGATAAAGTAATCCTTCTACCCCCCCCCCCCCCCCCCCAAAAAAAAAAAATTGTAAAGTGGTTATCCCACTGGCTATAGGGTGAACGCACCAATTGGTGAGTCGCTCTGGATAAGAGCGCCTGCTAAATGACGTAAATGTGCCCTTGAGCAAGGCACTTAACCCTAATTGCTCCTGTAAGTCGCTCTGGATAAGAGCATCTGCTAAATGACTAAAATGTAAATGTAAATGTAATGTAAATGTAAATAAATCATTCTCTCTACTACTATTCTGACATTTCACATTCTTAAAATAAAGTGGTGATTCTAACTGACCTAAGACAGGGAATTTTTACTATGATTAAATGTCAGGAATTGTGAAAAACTGAGTTTAAATGTATTTGGCTAAGGTGTATGTAAACTTCCAACTTCAACTGTATATGGTGGGGTCAATGGAGGTTGGATAAGAAGTATGGGTCTGGAAAGTTACTAAGTAAGAGAAAAGACAATCACTTGGTTGCGGTCACTGATAAGGTTGGATAGCTGTGGATTAGTGAGGAATGTGGGCCGAGGTCAGGTCAGGTTAGATGAAGGGAGAAGGAACAGTTTTATTACACACATCACTTAACTACCTGTCTAGCAACAAAGATGTTGTGTTTAGAGTTGCAAGGAGGAGCCTCCACCTAAAGGAGGGTATACATACTTGTGCTGGTGGAAACATGTCTTTGTCTTTTCAGCTGTTTGACCCAGTGGGTGAGTAAACTTGGTTTGAGCTTTGACTAGTTGTCCATTAGGTTCTGACAGAGTGAAAAGCTAACAGTGCTTATTTATTTTATACACTGAGTGTACAAATCATTAACAGCATCTTCCAAATATTGAGTTGCACCCCCTCCTTTTGCCCACAGAACAGCCTCAATTCGTCGGGGCATGGACTCTACAAGGTGTCGAAAGTGTTCCACAGGGATCCTGGCCCATGTTGACTCCAATGCTTCCCACAGTTGTGTCAAGTTGTCTGGATGTCCTTTGGGTGGTGGACCATTCTTGATACACACAGGAAACTGTTGAGCGTGAAAAACCCAGCAGTGTTGCAGTTCTTGACATAAACCAGAGCGCCTGGCACCTATTTATTATTTATTTTATTTGACCTTTATTTAACTAGGCAAGTCAGTTAAGAACAAATTCTTATTTACAATGACGGCCTACTACCATACCCCGTTCAAAGGCACTTAAATATTTTGTCTAGCCCATTCACCCTCTGATTGGCACACATACAAAATCCATGTCTCAAGGCTTAAAAATCCTTATTTAACCTGTCTCCTCCCCTTTCATCTACACTGATTGAAGTGGATTTAACAAGTGACATCAATAAGGGATCATAGCTTTCACCTGGATTCACCTGGTCAGTCTGTCATGGAAAGAACAGGAGTTCTTAATGTTTTGTACACTCAGTGAATATTTGCAATGCAATGAACTTTGTTGCACTGAAAATATGAAATAGATAAGCACTAAAGTCAAGGTCAGTCGCCTGTCATTTTCCAGTGTGTGCCTTTTAACTTTTGTAATACTTCAATATTGTAGAGTGAAGCTCCAGGCGATAAAATCATATTACATGATCTTGTTTAATGGTGATAATACTCACTGACCTGTCCTGTACTCGGTCACAGAGGCAGCAGCTGGGGTGTGTGGATGACTTTGTTGCCTGGGTCGTGCACACTGTAGCAAGCCTTTACACAACAGAAAAATTCAACTGTGCTCTTGACAAGTTAATGTAGTCTGTGTTTCACTCGATTTCAAATCAATTTTCCCCTACTGAATACGATTCTGGTGCTGTCTTCCCATAGGAGGAACCTAGAGGAGCAGCAGGGAGTGAAACAGATCACTATCGAGGATGCCCTGAGGAGAGATGACATAAAGGTGGCCTTCGTCTGCACTGAAAATGCTGCCCATGAGGAAAACATCAGGTAAAACTCTCTCACTGACCCCATGTCTCTATGATAGTCCTCTGTGGTAGTTCTTTAGTTATCCCTTCATCAGTTTTGTTTCTATCTGAAATGCTCTTACACAACAGAGCTATAGTTTCAACATGTTACAAATCACCACTAGGAGTCAGCACTGGAACACTTATATTGGACTTATCAAGCCTCAATAAACTGTTGCTTTTCTTTCTCAGTCCACTGAGGCTCCATCTGTAGGTTAATTAACCATTCATTGAGCCTGGCCCATTTACCAGGGCCTCAGACAAACTGTCTTACAGTTGTAGTTCATAAGCTATATATTATACAACATTGAGACACACAGTAAGATGACAGTTTAGCTAATTGTTTAAGATATCTTCCTTGACCCTCATAGGTGCTTCATTGTATATCGGTCAGGTACATCTGAGGAGGTCAGGGAGCTGTATCAACAAATGTTGACTGGGGGGGCTCCTCTGGCATTCACATTACCCTGAGCAGTCTCCTCCCTGTTCCACAGCTGATAAGTCTATGTAGCTGTTTGATGTCCACCTCTCAAACCCTGGAGAGCACGACCAAGGCTACAGCTCTCTAATGGCTCTCATTATGACTGCAAACTATAGTGAAAACATTTACATTTACGTCATTTATCCAGAGCGACTTACAAATTGGTGCATTCACCTTATAGCCAGTGGGATAACCACTTTACAATATATATATATATATTTTTTTCATTCTAAGGGGGGGGGGTAGAAGGATTACTTTATCCTATCCCATGTATTCCTTAAAGAGGTGGGGTTTCAAGTGTCTCCAGAAGGTGGTGAGTGACTCCGCTGTCCTGGCATCGTGAGGGAGCTTGTTCCACCATTGGGGTGCCAGAGCAGCGAATAGTTTTGACTGGGCTGAGCGGGAACTGTGCTTCCACAGAGGTAGGGGGGCCAGCAGGCCAGAGGTGGATGAACGCAATGCCCTCGTTTGGGTGTAGGGACTGATGAGAGCCTGAAGGTACGGAGGTGCCGTTCCCCTCACAGCTCCGTAGGCAAGCACCATGGTCTTGTAGCAGATGCGAGCTTCAACTGGAAGCCAGTGGAGTGTGCGGAGGAGCGGGGTGACGTGAGAGAACTTGGGAAGGTTGAACACCAGACTGGCTGCGGCATTCTGGATGAGTTGTAGGGGTTTAATGGCACAGGCAGGGAGCCCAGCCAATAGCGAGTTGCAGTAATCCAGACGGGAGATGACAAGTGCCTGGATTAGGACCTGTGCCGCTTCCTGTGTAAGGCAGGGTCGTACTCTCCGAATGTTGTAGAGCATGAACCTACAGGATCGGGTCACCGCCTTGATGTTAGCGGAGAACGACAGGGTGTTGTCCAGGGTCACGCCAAGGCTCTTTGCACTCTGGGAGGAGGACACAACGGAGTTGTCAACCGTGATGGCGAGATCATGGAACGGGCAGTCCTTCCCTGGGAGGAAGAGCAGCTCCGTCTTGCCGAGGTTCAGCTTGAGGTGGTGATCCGTCATCCACATTGATATGTCTGCCAGACATGCAGAGATGCGATTTGCCACCTGGTTATCAGAAGGGGGAAAGGAGAAGATTAGTTGTGTGTCGTCTGCGTAGCAATGATAGGAGAGGCCATGTGAGGATATGACAGAGCCAAGTGACTTGGTGTATAGCGAGAATAGGAGAGGGCCTAGAACTGAGCCCTGGGGGACACCAGTTGTGAGAGCACGTGGTGCGGAGACAGATTCTCGCCACGCCACTTGGTAGGAGCGACCGGTCAGGTAGGACGCAATCCAAGAGTGAGCCGCACCGGAGATGCCCAACTCGGAGAGGGTGGAGAGGAGGATCTGATGGTTCACAGTATCAAAGGCAGCAGACAGGTCTAGAAGGACAAGAGCAGAGGAGAGAGAGTTAGCTTTAGCAGTGCGGAGAGCCTCCGTGACACAGAGAAGAGCAGTCTCAGTTGAATTGCCAGTCTTGAAACCTGACTGGTTTGGATCAAGAAGGTCATTCTGAGAGAGATAGCAAGAGAGTTGGCTAAAGACGGCACGCTCAAGAGTTTTGGAGAGAAAATAAAGAAGGGATACTGGTCTGTAGTTGTTGACATCGGAGGGATCGAGTGTAGGTTTTTTGAGAAGGGGTGCAACTCTCGCTCTCTTGAAGACGGAAGGGACATAGCCAGCGGTCAAGGATGAGTTGATGAGCGAGGTGAGGTAAGGGAGAAGGTCACCGGAGATGGTCTGGAGAAGAGAGGAGGGGATAGGGTCAAGCGGGCAGGTTGTTGGGCGGCCGGCCGTCACAAGTCGCAAGATTTCATCTGGAGAGAGAGGGGAGAAAGAAGTCAAAGCATAGGGTAGGGCAGTGTGAGCAGGACCAGCAGTGTCATTTGACTTAACAAATGAGGATCGGATGTCGTCAACCTTCTTTTCAAAAGGGAGGAGGGGGGGAGGGGGAGGAGGATTAAGCAGGGAGGAGAAGGTGGCAAAGAGCTTCCTAGGGTTAGAGGCAGATGCTTGGAATTTAGAGTGGTAGAAAGTGGCTTTAGCAGCAGAAACAGAGGAAGAAAATGTAGAGAGGAGGGAGTGAAAAGATGCCAGGTCCGCAGGGAGTCTAGTTTTCCTCCATTTCCGCTCGGCTGCCCGGAGCCCTGTTCTGTGAGCTCGCAATGAGTCGTCAAGCCACGGAGCAGGAGGGGAGGACCGAGCCGGCCGGGAGGATAGGGGATAGGGGTGGGCGATATGAGCTAAAATTCATATCACGATATTTTCCACTGTCCAGACGATATCGATATGATATCACGATATATGACGTAAAAAAATATGAATCACATTTTAATATCCCTTCTTGGTTAAATTATATTAGTTAAGGAAAAATATGTATTTGAACCTTATATAACCAGAAAGAGTGAGGCATTGGACCGTATGGACCTGAAAAGTTTTTATTTGTATTGTGCAAACATGCATTCCGTAAACATGAGGTAGGTAGGCCTATATATATATATATATATATATATATATATATATATATATATATATATATATATATATATATATATATATATATATATATATATATATATATATATATATATAAATTAGATATTAAGTAAAATTAAATAAAAAATAACAGGAGATAAAGAAAATAAGGTAATTACAAATTCAAATACGTGTGTTTGTTTTGGCTACGGTCCGTAGATATGTAAAAAACTAACCGTTTGAAACTAAACCTTTCAAGCCTCAACCATCAATTATCAACAATATCAACAAATCTTCACTAGAACTTTCTTCACAAGTTCCGTGCCAGGAATACCAGCATGTTGACTGTTTCTGGCTTTAGTGCTGCCCTGTGACATGTCACCACATTGCCCCCAGTGCTGAATGCCCTCTCAGAGGGGGCACTTGTGGCAGGGATGCATAAGTATTTCTTTGCCAGACAACTCACACGTGGAAAATTAGATCCGTGAAATCGCCACCACTCCAAAGGATCAGACTCGCTGTCTGCTGCCGTTGCCAGAATGTAGCTATTCAGCTCTTGCTCAATGATCTGCCTCTCTGAACATGAGGCAGGTGCACTGCTGGTCTGCTTAAAGAAGCTCCCAAGGCTCTTCTTGGGCTTCTTGCCTGATTGATGAGCAGTGGAAGCTTCTTTCTCCCTGTCAGTGTGATCCTCTGCAAGAGACGATTTTCCCAGGGCTGTGTTCTCCACAAGGAGGGCTTCGGTCTCTGAGGCAGCTCTCACCTTAAAAAATGAAAATAATTAAACTTTATTTGTATAGCACCTTTCATACATAAAATGCAGCCCAAAGTGCTTTACATTTGAAGCAATAAAACAAGAACAAATGAATAAATACCTTAATGTCCTCCAGTTTCTCAGCGGACATGTACCTGGTCTTGAACCTTGGATCTAGAAAGGTAGCCATGGAGAGCAGCTCATCTGTTGCAGGGTCAGTGTACTTGTTATTCAAGTAATCAAGAACCTTGATCTTGATCTCTTTGGTCAGTTCTGTATCGTCCTTGCTCAGATTTAGAACCTCTGCATTTAACAGATTGATGACAGGCTTCAAATAGGACACGCTCACATACGCTTCTCCTGACAGGGCATCTGTAAAGTCCTGGAGTGGCTTCAGTGCTGCTGTGACTGATTCCAAGACCTGGATGTCTTGCCAGGTAGGTACAAGGTGCCGTGTCTTTTTGTCCCCTGCCAGGACCTGTGTAATGGCCTTTTCCTGCTCCAGGACTCTTTCCATCATTTTCAGACGAGATCCCCACCTTGTCGGAGATTCTGTGATGAGCTTGTGCAGGGGCAGGCTTAGTTCATTCTGTGCTGTCATCAGGGCCTTCTGCTTTTTCCAGCTGTATGAGAACGTGCTAACCACCTTTTTGCAAACCCCTGTGGCCCGGGAAATCGCACACCCCTGTGGCCCGGGAGCGTTTTGGACACTCCTCTCTGGAAATTGGGAATAAGAAATCAAAATAATAGGGTGAAAAATAATCAAATCACAATACAATAATAATTAATAATAATGCATTTTTATATAGAAATCACAATACAATATAACTTTTAATCTTTGTTTGAGGATTTACGGCATTTACATTCAACTGTTACACATTTTACAAATCTGATGTGCTTAGATTTAGCCTACGGTACATGGCTGATGTGAGCTGTATTTTTTCTTAATAATAAGCATCATACAGGGTAGGCCTAGGCTACAGTCCTGAAACTTACCAATAGCATTGTGCAGCCTGTGTCCGAAACATCCAAGGTTTGCCCACTTGTTCAGCTGCAATGCCTTGATCATGTTCGATCCGCTGTCGGTCGTCATACAAACTTGACGCGACTCTTTTAATCCCCAGGACGACAGTATGTCCCTCAGCCCACCTGCAATTATTTCCCCGGTGTGGTCGTCTGGGAAATAAGACGTCTGTAGGCACTTACTTTTCAGTTTCCAGTCACCGTCTATGTAATGGATTGTGAGGCTTATATAAGGTTCTGTGGTACGACTTGACCATAGATCGGCAGTAGTGGAGAAGAATGGAATGTTATTTATCTCACTGTAAACTCTGTCCCAGCATTCTGTGTAAAGCTGTGGCAGGCATTTTTGGCTAAAATATTTGCGGCTCGGGATCTCATATCTTGGGTCCAGAGTTTGAATCAACTTTCTGAACCCCTCTTTCTCCACAGTTTGAATCGGTACCATGTCCTTCGCTATGTGATTTGTAATCGCAGCTGTGATGTCTATCCATTTTTTGCTCGTCTTCTCATAGCAAGTACCGGCAGCAAATGATGATATAATTGATTGTTGAGTGCGAGTCTGGCTTGTCTTCGGGCGAGCTCCTGGGCTTACTGTCTCACGCATTCTGGTGCATTGTTCATACTCACGGACATGTATGTTTTTTAAGTGATTGAACAGGTTGGTCGTGTTTCCACCTTTTGCTAAGACAACACGACGACACAACTTGCATAGGGTAGTGTTTTGGTCGGGGTCGGAGATTTTAAAGCCAAACCAGTTCCAAACAACAGAGGTGCCCCCTTTCTTCTTAACCAATTTATCCTCCTGCTCTTGAGCAACATCAATTTCTGTGTTTTCGCTCATCCTGGATTGTAAAGTTTTCCCCCAATAGTTAACCTGCCTCCTAACTGCAGCTGCCTGCACACTTCTTTGTTGCTAGCACTACATGCGTGCAACAAGTGCATGCGACGTGCGCTCATAAAAATAGGTCAACATATTAACATACATTCTTTTATTCGTAAGAACCAAGAAAGGTTGGATAAAAAAAAAAAAAAAAAGATGTAGCTACTTAGTACTATCACTCAGTTGAAATTTGGAACAAAAAAATATTGATGCAAAATTCGAATTTATGAATTCTGAATAAATCGCGGTATCCATGATATTGCTAAATCCATATCATGGCGCGGCACAATACCGGTTTTTACTATCAAACCGGTATATCGCCCACTCCTAATAGGGGACATAGAGAGTCAAAGGATGCAGAAAGGGAGGAGAGGAGGGTTGAGGAGGCAGAATCAGGAGATTGGAGGGAGAAGGATTGAGCAGAGGGAAGAGATGATAGGATGGAAGAGGAGAGAGTAGCGGGAGAGAGAGAGCGAAGGTTGCGACGGCGCATTACCATCTGAGTAGGGGCAGAGTGAGTAGTGTTGGAGGAGAGCGAGAGAGAAAAGGATACAAAATAGTGGTCGGAGACATGGAGGGGAGTTGCAGTGAGATTAGTAGAAGAACAGCATCTAGTAAAGATGAGGTCAAGCGTATTGCCTGCCTTGTGAGTAGGGGGGGACGGTGAGAGGGTGAGGTCAAAAGAGGAGAGGAGTGGAGAGAGAAATGAGTCAAAGGTAGACGTAGGGAGGTTAGTCACCCAGAACTGTGAGGAGTGAGCCATCCTCAGGAAAGGAACTTATCAAGGCATCAAGCTCATTGATGAACTCTCCAAGGGAACCTGGAGGGCGATAAATGACAAGGATGTTAAGCTTGAATGGGCTAGTGACTGTGACAGCATGGAATTCAAATGAGGAGATAGACAGATGGGTCAGGGGAAAAATAGAGAATGTCCATTTGGGAGAGATGAGGATTCCTGTGCCACCACCCCGCTGACCAGATGCTCTCGGGGTATGCGAGAACACATGGTCAGACGAGGAGAGAGCAGTAGGAGTAGCAGTGTTTTCAGTGGTAATCCATGTTTCCGTCAGCGCCAAGAAGTCGAGGGACTGGAGGGTAGCATAGGCTGAGATTAACTCTGCCTTGTTGGCCGCAGAACGGCAGTTCCAGAGGCTGCCGGAGACCTGGAACTCCACGTGGGTCGTGCGTGCAGGGACCACCAGGTTAGAGAGGCAGCAGCCACGCGGTGTGAGGCGTTTGTATAGCCTGTGTCGAGAGGAGAGAACAGGGATAGACAGAGGCATAGTTGACAGGCTACAGAAAATGGCTACAATAATGCAAAGGAGATCGGAATGAAATGAACTAAACATCTGGGAAAGCGAGAGAGCGGGGCCTCCCTCACTTACGTTTCACTGAAACACCCAAATATAACCCTCCCAACTTCCACCTCAGAAACTATAATTGTTGTAAACACACTCTTCAATTATGCTTTTTACTCTCCCTCTCACTGCTAAATGTTCAGAGTGTACAGAGAGGCAGAGACGGGCTGTTAAATAATGGAGAGTTATTTTAGGCCGGTTAATGAGGGTTTTGAGAACATAGCCATCATGTTTCACTGCTAGATGGTTCCAGGCTAACTGTCTAAATGGAACAGCAGGTACTGCCCTTCATACTGTAAAGGAAACAAAAAATAAAGGAAAAAAAGCCATGAAATGTTCTGGAGAGTGGCTTTTTCATATAGGATTCCTCATTATCTTCTTTTGTTGTCAATTTAATTGGAAGGAATTCTTTGAGAAAGTTACAAGGAGTTTAAGAGCGGTCACTGTGAAGTTTTCCCAACTCTGAACTGGTTGTTGAAACATTGACCAATGGCTCTTACTGGGCAGTTCGGGATATTAAGTTACATTTGAGTTGTGCATCTCCCTAGTACAGAACAGTTTTTTAAAAATCTTCTTGATCATTTTGACTGATGTTCTGTTGAAGCACGGTCTCTTGGACACCCTTCTTGGATACTCAAACAAACTAAATTCACCTATACTATGTTGCATGTTCTAACGGAGCACAGGACATTTCTGGAAGCTGGGAAGCATGTCTGTGTGGAATATCCTATGGCCATGACACACAAGACTGCCGTGGACCTCTGGGACCTGGCTCAGGAAAAAGGTGAGCTGGACAGAATCATTGGGAGAGATTTATTTTGGTCAATTTGAAGTGTATAGAGAAGACATGGTGAAGTCTTGATGACTTGATGGTGTAGTAGACATGTATCTTAACTAGTACTGATCACCTAATGTATTTAATGTTCTATGTCTTCTATGTACCTAGGAGTGGTCCTGCATGAGGAGCACATAGAACTCCTGACAGCTGACTTTAAGCAGCTGAAGAAGGACATAGCAGGGAAAAAGCTGGAGGAAGGATCCCTTCACTTCACAGGTGAGAGACCGAGACTGGAACAGGGAATAAAGCACAAATCCACAAAACTGTCATACACAAAGACCCCAGCACCACTGATACATCACCTCAAATACAATACTTGCTACAGAAAATAACTGCATAACATGTATCAATTTGATGTACATCGTCGAGGTCACAGGGTTCAGAATGAATATTTAATTCCAGAGCTTTTGATATAATATAGCTCCCATCAAAGCGACTTGTAAAATGTGGTTTTCTCAGTCTCCACAGTACACCCATTGGGGTTGATGTGAAAGAGAGCCTGCCTGTGGAGTGAGGCGGGCAGACAGGTCTCTGGTGTGAAATACGGCAGGGTGTTATTGATGAAGTCTAGAGGTGCATGTCAAATGGCACCCTATTCCCTACATAGTGCACTATTGTCATTGGTAGTGTACTACATAGCGAATGGGGTGCCATTTGGGATGCTGACTAGCTCTGTCCAATTTCATCAGAGCCCCGCTGGGGAACAAGCTAGTTAATGCATATGAATGGGCTTCTCCTAAAGCAGCCATGATTGAATAATAAATCATCGTTATCAACTCGAAACGCTCCACACAACCTCAGATGACAGACAATATTTTATAGCGGCAGACTTTTGACTAAGAATCGTAGCAGGAGCTTAGTGGAGAGTGAGTGGAGGAGCAAGAGGGAGTAGTTTCTCTGAAATTTGAGTCAGGGCAGTGTTAGGAGTTGGACTGTAGGAGGCAGCAAGCGCCAAATGAACTATAACTATCTGTTGGGAAATTCACTGGTTCATGTTCATTTTATGCATAATGGTGTGATATAACAGCACCACAACAGTGTATGTACTGTAATGTGATGAGTACAAAATCAATACAAAAGGCATAATGTGTGCTAACCAGTCTTAAATGTGACCAGATGATGATTGACAATGAGCCATTGGATTACATGTCCCTTTACAACTACTTCTGACTATAGTTTCCCTGTGTGTCTCCTGATAGGAGGTCCTAAGAAGCCAGGCTTTGGGTTTCCAGCTTTCAGTGGCATCGCCCGGCTCACCTGGCTGGTGGATCTGTTTGGAGAGCTGTCTGTCACTGCTGCCAGCATGGAGGAAGACCAGGAGAACAAGTACATGAAGATGACCACTCAACTCATGACTAAAGAGCAGAAGTATGTACTCTGTACTGTACATTAGAATCAACTGCTACTCAAGTAATCATATCAGATAATGTGTCCTTCACAACACTTCAAACCCAGCTATTCAGCCAGCACCAATCATAATTGCCTTTATTACATTTTTTTTTTTTTACTGGTAGTCCAGTATAAACTTTGGGTTAACTATAACCTCTTTGTAACATCTGTTATGGTTTTAATACAGGCCTCTCACGTGGATTGAGGAGCAGGGTCCTGGCCTGCCCAGAGCAAAGAATATCAACTTCCGCTTTGACTCATGCACCATGACCCAGCTGCCCCCGGTCGCCAGGGAGCCGGTGGGTCTCTTCATGCAGGACTTGGTGCTCTTCAGTCAGAAGCTGCTGGGCCAGGTGCCCCGTGACCAGCTCCATGCCGAGCGCCGCAGGGTCCTCCACTGTCTGGAGCTGGCCGACCGAATCCAGCAGCTGAGCCAGCAAGGCCAGGGATCAGCCCAGGATGCCTAGAGAGCAGCAGCAGGGGCCAAACCTAAGCCTACTGGTAGATGTCCAAGCGCACAAGATCCGGCCATAAGCCATAAATAAGCCTTCTACAGTACAGCTACTGTAACATGCTGTACTGCTGACAGACGCGCTCGGAACGTCTTTGAAATGTTAACGGATTTCATTAATAAATGAGGGTAAGGAGATGTGCAATGCATTTCAGAAACAAATAGGTCTCTAAGGCATGTCAGCTTATTATATTAGGGTTAGGCTATTACTCACAACAGACCTCATATGTACTACATCTTAACATTGATGAAAGGTCAGTTAATAGTTTGTTTGCATTGTGTTACTTATTCAAGTTAATCTACATTACATGTGCTATAACATTCCTGTGGTTGAACACAGCTTATGATGCTTTATCATTAGCTGGTGGTGCTTTTATATGGTCATTACTTATTTATCTCATGACATTTATTGACTTACGTTGTTTAGCTACCGTGCACTCAGAAGTGGAAAGCAAAACTGTGTCATACTGATCCTTGCATGTTCAAATCATTAACGCTCTACAATAGGTGTTTGCCTGATACCTGAGGTAAATATTGCACTGATTAATATTTAGATCGCTCTGGCAGGTGAAAGGGTGTTATTTACATCGCAACTTCAACGTTGTCAAAATGTTGTTAGTAGACTGCAATTGACACTCATCTGTTTATTTAAAGTATTATTTGATTGTTCATTCCTTGTTGAGGGAGTGTATTACCATGTGTTGACAACTTGACACAGTGTTGCTTTATTCCTATTTATTCAACAATAAAAGGCTGTTTTCATTTACAAAGCAGTGACACCACGGCTAAAAACACTTTCCTGGTTTTAGCACTAAATAATTCACTAGCTTGTTCTTGCAACGCGCTTCCCTTCCCTTTTCTCTCTGTTTCAAAACTACTTCTGCATGGCGATGAAACTTAAAAGACTAAATCTTTTATGCGTATGTTTGAAAACTTAAGGTTGCAATTCGATTGGTAGCACAAGTCTTCTTGTTTTTTGTCTCTCCAGTGACTGTCCCTCTGAATGGGGCCACAACAGAAACCACTATTTCAAGGGTCTCCAAATTAGGTGTTGACCATACAATATAATAGTGAGTGTTCTATTTAATTCCGGGATGCTGACAGACTGAATTTGTGCCTTATTGGCCTGCTCAGTTCCCTCTCCATTGTTAACCATCCATGTCAGTCCCATCTAATGATGTATATGTCTATGGTTCCATCCCATGTCACACAATTACACACTACCCAGTGCGGTTTGGACACTTTTAACTGGGTGTCACTGTAGTGTTATTAGCAATTTGTAGGGAGAGAAAATAACATTCTTTATCAGTTTAAGAGGGAGAATTGTACTGTTATATTGGATTATAATGCCTGAATGTTGACATGTTTTGAGTGTATTGTAACTGTATAGTTTGCTATGAGATTCATAATTATCTGTTTTCCATATTAATAGGCTATTAATAAAGTGTGCCTGATTGATCATCTTCCTGTATGATTCTGGCTTTACATTCTTGATGAAATAGTAATAATACATGGGACTTTGAGGCTTTTCAAGGACCCAAAGTCACTTTACAAAAACAAACTAATAAACAGTAGTCAAAACATCAGACTAAACAAGAACATGAATAAAGAGATGGGTGGGCTCAAGGAAGGGAAAGAGTGTGATGTAGGGTTGGGATTTGGATTCAAACCTGGGTTAGGGTTAGGTACTGTTCAGTATGGTGAAGAGAGGAGTGTCTTGTGTAGTTCTTTGTGTGGTGGTGGTGGTGCTTAAGGGTAGGCCTCGTCAAAGAGGTGGGGCTTCAGGGTGGACTGAAAGAAGGTGATGGATTTAGGATGGGTTGCACCAACAAGCTAATCTAGGTTTTGTAAATCTAGGTTTATAATTAAGCAGAGATTTGTTGCACCACTTAATTTTAAATCTGGATCAGTAAATCTATGATTAACGGTTTTAAACTATGATTAGTGACACCAATATATGAGGTATTTCGTGAGTTGAAACGAAGTAGATAGCCTACTTGACAAATGAGGCCACAAAGTTGCTGTTCCTTGATAAAATAATAACAATGTAGAACTACTGCAACTCCATCGTGAAAGGTTCTCTTGGGTTGGATGATTTGAAATAAAATCCGTTATTTGTCAGTACTAGACAGAAAACTCATTAGTTAGCTAACGTTAGCTACTGTAGCTAGCTAGTTTATAAACCAAGATAGCTAGAATAAAATATAATTTATTGTCATTACTTAACGTTATTTAGCCATTTATTATTTGTCCGCTAGCCACCTGATCATGGCATGTCAAAGAAGTTCACATTTCTCCGCTTATGAAAAAAACGTATTGTCCGAGCTGATGGAGCCGGAATTTAGTGACGTACCGGAGGATAAAAAGACAGACAACAAGACTGTCAAAAAGAAGGAAGACACCTGAGCCATTTTATGCGACAGATTTAATGGATCGACACGGATTAAAGAGAAGAGGGACCCAAATCGGATGAAGGCGTGCTGGACATTTTTTAAAGTGAAAGACAAAAATGATGCGGCAGAGGCCAGGCGGGGGCTATTTCAGACCGGAGGGGGGCCTCCGTCCAAGGGAATTGATCCTCTCTCCCAGAAGATATGCGAGATGATTCCCCAGCAGTTTGCCCCACTACTTAACCCCTATGATGACGATGGACAACTCGACCCACCAATATTTAGTAAGCATAAATAACTGGTAAATATCAATGACTATAATGCACGTTAAAACTAACGCTAATGCTACTTCACTACAATGTGTTACCGTTATCAGTCCCGTTACATCATGTTGCATAACATCATTATTCGTACCAAGGCTGGGCATATCATAAGCCCCAATTCAATTGTTGTACAAAATGGGCACATACATAGCCTACTAATAATTAGTTAATTTTATTTTCTTTCCTTTAGTTGAGTTGACACCCTGTGCCGTGGAGAAACAGCAGTGCCTGGATCTTGCACCAGCAGCAAAAACACCAGACAGGCCAAGCAAACGCCCCAGAACTGACATAAACCAAGCTCATATTGATGTTTTGGAGCTGGTGAGAGAGAAACATCTACTGCAGATCGAGGTCCTGAATTTACAAAATGAGCTACTGCAAATTCAGAAACAGAAACTGCTTCATGGAAACAAATGCCCACTGTGTAAAGAATGCTGATCTTTTTTATTTATTTAAGCAATTATTTATTAAAAACAATTATTTATTAAAACAATGCTTTCCCAAGCAATTTGGTGTCCTCCAGTCTTGTCCCCACTCTTGTGTTCTGGTGCTTCCAGTTCCACCCTGTATGATATTGAGAATAACAAAGTCTAAATAATACATTTGAATACAGATAGCCTAAATAGGAATTGTTTGTGTCGATCAAAATATAATATAGCTTTTTACATGTTACCAATGTTACATTATATACACCTTAGGCTGCAAAATGGTTCTCAATCAAGGTTCTCACAGCATTCCAATTTGCATTGGCAGCATGTTGCACCTGGCCATCTTCTGCATTCTCCTCAGGTAGGTCCTCCTCAGTCTCCTCAGGTAGCTCGTCTCCTTGTGTCTTGCCAAAGTTATACAGAACTGCCACTGCAATAATTATTGTCAGTGTAGTGTCCATCTTCGTGCGGAGCCCCTCCTTTAGGCACAGTAATCTTTTTTTCGACACTCCAAAAACTCTATGAGACCTCTTGCCAGGATATGAGAGGTGTTGTATTATCTCTCTTCAGGTGTCTGGGGGTTTAAAAGAGGGGTCATAAGGTACCCACGACAGGCATATCCATTGTCACCTAGTAGGTGGCCTTCATATGCCCCCCTTTCCAGCATTGCACACAGACAACTATTGTCAAAGATTCTGCTGTCCTGGGTGGATCCTGGCCATCTAGCTACGATGTTGGTGAGCTGACCTTTGTCATCACAGGCAGCCTGCACGTTGATGGAGCAGTAACCTTTCCGATTACGGAATAGTTCTCCATTCTCACCACCAGGGTTGGGAATAGGAATGTGTGTACAGTCTATTGCCCCTAGTACACCTGGGAATCTAGCTCTCCTGTAAAATCCAGCTGCTGTTTCCTCTGTAGGCTTGCACCTTATGTACTGATTCTTCAGACTGGCAATAGCACTGGACACTCTGACTACAATCCTGCAGACGGTTGACTTGTGGAGTCCAAAAACGTCCCCATCCACCATCTGGAAACATCCAGTTGCGTAGAACCTTAGGGTCACCAAGAGCTTAAGTAGTGGGGGTACAGCCGCGTTCTTATCACTCCCATGCTTAATGGTTGGTCCAACCTTTCTTTCCAGTTGCATTACAGAGTCCTTGGAGAAGCGGTATCGCCTTGAAAACTCATCATTATCATAAAACTCAACAGGATTGAACCTGTCTCTAGAGTCACAGATGGTTGGAGGGAGGAGCAACCCTGGAGAAGGCCCTGCCGCCAAAGCTCTGGAGTTTTGCCCTGGGGATGACAAGGTGGCCTGCTGTGATGGAACGGAGTGCGCGTGTGGGTTGGTAGTGGAGAAGAAGGTCTGAGAAGTATTTGTTTTTATTATGGATCCCCATTAGCTGCTGCCAAGGCAGCAGCGACTCTTCCTGGGGTCCAGCAAAATTAAGGCAGTTATATACAATTTTTAAAACATTACAATACATTTCACAACACATTAAGTGTGGTCCACTACTCTACTACCTAATATCTTCAACACAAAATCCATGTGTATGTGTGTGTATAGTGCGTATGCTCTCGTGTGTGTGTATGCGTGTGTCTGTGCCTGTGTGTGTCTCATCACAGTCCACGCTGTTCATATAAAGTGTATTTTTATCTGGTTTTTGAATCTGATTTTGCTGCTTGCATGAGTTACTTGATGTGGAATAGAGTTCCATGTAGTCATGGCTCTATGTAGTACTGTGCGCCTCCCATAGTCTGTTCTGGACTTGGGGATTGTGAAGAGACCTCTGGTGGCATGTCTTGTGGGGTATGGGTGTCTGAGCTGTGTGCTAGTAGTTTAAACAGACAGCTCGGTGTATTCAACATGTCAATACTTCTGACAACAAAAAGTTGTGATGAAGTTAATCTCTCCTCTATTTTGAGCCAGGAGAGATTGACATGCATATTATTAATGTTAGCTCTCCATGTGCATTTAAGGGCCAGCCGTGCTGCCCTGTTTTGGGCCAATTGTAATTTTCCTAAGTCCCTCTTTGTGGCACCTGACCACACGACTGGACAGTAGTCCAGTTGCGACAAAACTAGGGCCTGTAGGACCTGCCTTGTTGATAGCGTTGATAAGAAGGCAGAGCAGCGCTCTGGACAGACCTCTCCCCATCTTAGCTACTGTTGCATCAATATGTTTTGACCATGACAGTTTACAATCCATGGTTACTCCAAGCAGTTTAGTCTCCTCAACTTGCTCAATTTCCACATTATTCATTACAAGATTTAGTTGAGGTTTAGAGTGTAGTGAATGATTTGTCCCAAATACAATGCTTTTAGTTTTGAAATATTTAGGACTAACTTATTTCTTGCCACCCATTCTGAAACTGACTGCAGCTCTTTGTTAAGTGTTGCAGTGATTTCACTTGGTGTGGTAGCTGACGTGTATAGTGTTGAGTCATCAGACATTTACATTTACATTTTAGTCATTGAGCAGACGCTCTTATCCAGAGCGACTTACAGTTAGTGAGTGCATAATTTTTTATTATTTTTATTATTTTTTTCATACTGGCCCCCCGTGGGAATCGAACCCACAACCCTGGCGTTGCAAACGCCATGCTCTACCAACTGCTCTTCCCTCCCCTACCCTGGACGACGCTGGGCCAATTGTGCGCCGCCCCATGGGTCTCCCGGTCACGGCCAGCTACGACAGAGCCAGGATCTCTAGTGGCACAGCTAGCACTGCGATGCAGTGCCTTAGACCACTGCGCCACATAGACACACAGGCTTTACTCAGAGAAGTGGCAGGTCATTAGTAAAGATTGAAAAAAGTAAGGGACCTAGACAGCTGCCCTGGGGAATGCCTGATTCTACCTGGATTATGTTGGAGAGGCTTCCATTAACCAGTAAAATGTAATCAACAATGTAATTTACATAATCCCCAAAAGTAATTATTTATCATGAGAGGACCATAAATAATAACTAGTAATGCTGCATACTCCAAGAAAGGTTAAAATCGCACCTTTATGGTAAAACTAGTTATAAATTGCTGCGGTGTAGTCAGTTTTGAGGACACAAGCTCAAGTACGCAGTACAAATATGATAAACATATTTAATATGATGTATTTCCTATTCAACAAAACTTTATGAATAAGGCTTGAAAGGACTTGTCTGCTTTCTAAATATAATTTAGTATGATCAAATTATAAAACAACTAACTATAAGATTTCCCCTTCCTTATAACTGTAAAATACATATTTGTAAGTTTAGTGTTAGAGAAAATGTGCATGTGTAACGTATACGCAGGGAGTCAGGTGCAGAAGGTGAGTTTA